AAAGCTAACAACACCGCCTGGTCTCCCCCTCGAGCTGTGACTCATGATATACGACACTTGTCCCTTGTCGACATTGCTTGCCTCGCGTTATGCAAGCGCCGATTGTGGTTTCCTTGGGATCTGTATGTGACGATCTCCCAAAGAGCCGCAGAGGTGGGCCTGAGGATGGGCCGCGGGTCGATCTTTTGACACGATTTTCTCATGACATGCTTGCTTACGACTTTATCTTTGGGGAAAGGTGGCTCTACCATGTCCCAAATTCAAAGTTCCAGCTTGCGTAGATTCCCCAGATCACAGCGTTCATCGCCCCAAACAGCCTATTTACATTATCCATTACCCGAGCCACGCATATTACAAGTTCCATCGTGTTCATCTTCAACTTGTCATGCGAAGGTTCTGCCACGCGGCTCAATTTGGAATCCCCGTTCAGTCCTTGCTCTATATAGAGGTAGGAAACAATCCTATCACAAGTAAAGCGCTGAACCCCACGAAACCGCACAACGAAGAGGACTTTCAGTGTAGTCATATGACAACTCTCCTGTCCATTGACGCTCGAATCTGCTCGAACCCTCCTAGCCTTTACTTACGAACCCAAGAGCTCGCGGTAGTGAGGAAACACAATCTATCATTGTTATTCCCACATCCTAAAGACGCAGCTATACACATTTGTATGCACATTAATCATATATTCAACTTGAATTCTGTCGTTCACGGTCTGGTCAACAAATATCGCTCTGATACGACAACGAAACCCCGGGACAAAGGGCGTTGCGATGAATGCAATACATCGTGGCAAATTGAGACACGGAATATGGATGAGAAAGATGTGTGCCTTTTTCTTACCCGGTGGCTTGACTTGGGACCAGGATTAAGCCCAGACGATGATCGATGGAGGTGTCATAATGATCACGAATTTGAAGTCAACTTGGCAGACCATGAAAAAGTCGATTACCGACAGCGGTTTGAAAACGATTCGATATAGGCCAATTTGTCAGATGCGCTGTCCCAAGAGGAAATGTATTATCGGAATATTCGATTTATCCAAGACCAGGCATATCAAAAGCTGATGACTCGGTTTGGGGTAGTCAGTTGGCGCTTACACGGAGAAAAAAGCTAGATTGATCTTCTCGCTGTGTTATTAGTTGAGAGAACTAAATGGAGACAGGTGCCACGCAGCTGGTCATATCTGCCGTTTATGACCTGGCTGCCTCATTGGGAAGGCTCCTACTCCCCTAGTTGAGTTGTTGACAATGATTGGAACCTGCGCCACTCCTAGGATGGTCTCCTTCATTTCCAACAGCTCAATTTGGCCCATATCTAGTATAACCTAGACTTAACGTTGGCTTGTTTAGTTGCACAGTAAGTCTCAACATAGTATAGGAAAGAGAGAGAGAGCAAGTCCTTAGACTCTCCTGCGGATGGTCGCTGGACCTGAAATATTGAGTTTATTCATACCAGTGGGTTGAATTGAAGAGTTTCTAGCATTTGCTCATGTGAGTGATGGGTGAAATATCCTGGAGAGGGCCTCGGCCTTCTTTAGGCATTGTTTATAATCTTGTTTTGGCAAGTTTGTATCCAGGGTGCCCACCATAAGCTCGCGTTTGTATGTTGTACGTGTGAGATGAGCCCACTGTGCTCAACGTTCCCACTTTCCCCGCATAAAGTTCCTAGCCATTGGGATATTAGAGCAACATAATCTCTTTGTTCCTCGAAAGTTTGAGCTAAAATCATACATACATATAAGGTAGGATATATCATTACAATTTAAAATAGTACACCGTTAGCGAATTGACTGCATAGTATTGATTCACAATATACGTTGTAGGCTGGTTATGTAGGTCTCGGCACTAATGCATCCTGCTGACAACCTTGGGAAGCCCCACCTGGCTGATGAGTTGATGCTAGTTCACCACCTTGGAAGGCTAACAGTGCCTTGCATCATTACTTGGCCTAGAGCATTCAATTTGCAAGTACATCGCACCTAATCAGGCAATATGTAATTGTACTTGCCATATCATATATCGGCAAATATTGCTGCACTCAACAGGTATCATCCATACGGCATGATGTCATTGTGGTTTCGGTGTTTAGTGGGGTTGATGACACCCCGCCTATAAAATGTTCGGAGTTAGGCATTGGTACATCCGTTACCGTTGACGATTACGAGAAGAAATTCGTACCTCTGTCTGTTTCTCTCTGTGATTGGATTCAAATGCCCATCTCATTTCACATTCCACATTCCACAGTTCACATACGACATGGTAGAAAATAGTCCTTGGAACTTCATTGGAGCTAGCGGAGTTAAGGCTCATAAGAAAAACCAGGACGACCCACATGAAGGCTTAATCCCGGGGACTAAATCTATCATATAAATCTGAACTCACTCCCGCATCTTGTCAATTCTAAAGCAACAGAAATTAAGAACCACCCATCAAATTATTCAGCTCAGTCAACATGGTTAAGACACTCCCCTTCGGTGACATTCAGGTCCCAACACCGGGCTTCGGTGCTATGGGCTTGAGCTTCGGCTTGGGTAGCAACCTGAGCCTCGAGCAAGCCGAGCCAGTCTTGCTGAAGGCAATTGAACTGGGATGCACATTCTGGGATACTGCTGTTGTCTACCAAGCTGGCGTGAACGAAAAGCTTTTGGGAGACTTTATCAGGAAGCACAATGTCCGCGACAAGGTTTTCAGTAAGACCTCGTGCCACGAGAATTATTTAATTGAAACTAACTGCTGTCGCTGATAGTTGCCTCCAAATGTGGATTTGACGTCATGGGAGGAAATGGCGCTGTCACCAATTCCGCCTCGCATATCAAGGAGTATATCGAAGGAACTATTGAGAGACTTGGCTTCACGCCTGATTTGTACTATCTGCACCGGATTGACCCCAGTGAGTCGAATAAATATGTGGCCGTCTTCAAATCTCAAATTACTAATTTAATAGACACACCCTTGACTGAGTCTATTCCTGCCCTTGATGAAATTCGCAAGGCAGGCAAGACCAAGTATATTGGACTTTCCGAATGTTCAGCTGCCACACTACGCAAGGCAAACTCAAGTGCGTTTCCGTCCAGCCAGGTTGCGAATATTTTACTAACCGTCAATAGTTGCCAAGATCGATGCTATCCAAGCCGAATACTCAGCCTTTGAGACAATCCACGAGACAGATGACTTGATCAAGACAGCAAAGGAGCTAGGCGTCGCTTACGTCGCGTACAGTCCACTGGGACACGGTTGGCTCGTCGATAACTTCGATTACAAGTCCCCGGATGACTTTGCCCCTGACGATTTCCGCCGAAAGTGTATGTATTACCCAGCCACAAGTATCCTAATAATAGACTGAACAGACTCGCTAACGCTATCCTTTTCAACAGCTCCCAAATTCCAAGGCGAGAACTTCTACAAGAACCTGGCCATCGTGGAGGAAATAAAGAAGCTAGCTACCCGCAAGGGATGCAAGATTAGCCAAATCGCGCTCGCCTGGGTTGCCTCCCAGGGACTGATCCCCATCCCAGGAACAACCAAGGCGGCCCGCCTTGAGGAGAACTGGGCGTCTCGGGATATTGAATTGAGCGAGGAAGAAAAGCAACAAATGCGCGAAATTATCGACGCTGCTAAGCCCCACGGCAACAGATATGGTGCTGTACACCAGGCAATGGTTGGACATTAAGCCGAGGGAGATATAATTGGAAACAAGCTGGGCTTGCTACAATCATCCACCTAGGTATGGCTGCCAATAAATTTAGATATTCCAGTGGAATTACAGGTATAGAGCACAATTAAATTTGTTTCACACAACACTTCGCCGCATTTAGACCAACAACGGTCTGTAGAAAATTGCACAAACTAATGGACAGGCTCCTTACAGGTTCCATTAAGGTAGATCGAACGGGAATTCCGACAATCGTGGTAGCGGTATGGTCCACATAGTGGCAAGGGATGGCAACATCATTCGCAGTGAAGGGCATCATCAATCCGTGGAGTTAAGGAAATTAGTGGATTAGACAAACTTAAGATCAGATTAGATGAAATGGGGCGATTGATTTGATTGATTAATCTAAATTTGCGCAGACTAAAATGATTGTTGGTTCGTTCAAGAGCTTCCTGCGTCACAGCGGATACAAAAGGTTTACTCTGATTCGTGCGGTCGCACACGGCTCATGGAGGATGTCAACGACTGGGTGAGTGCGCCGTTCGTACGGAGTACATGCTGCGAAGCGCCTCGGGCGGTTGGAGAAAATACGATCCAGCCCCACGAGGAGTCAAACCACCTTGCTAATCCGAGCATCCCGCAGGCAGAATCTGCCTTGAGGGGCTTGGCTTTGGGGAAAGCCAAGGGAACACCTAGGAAGCTTAGGTTAATAGCATCATTGATTCTACTTATACATATCTGATCGATCAGATAAATCAGAAATCAGATAAGAGGGCGTAAAAGTCAAATTGCGCCACGCATCCATGGACCGAAGCGCCGAAGGCGAACTGTTCCACGAAGTTCAACTGAGTTAGTATGGTGACCTCGTAAACAAGATGATTCATGCACGAAGTCAATTTGCTTGTTTCTTCGGGTACAAATTGGGGGCTGAAAAGGATCCCGAACTCTTTTGGTATCTTAAGCTTCTCATATGGCAACCTTGCGCTGTACATCGCGTGGATATGCAAGGGACAAATAGAGCGGATAGCGTTTTGTGTTCGAGGGTCGTAAGGGGAAAAAGAAAAGAGTGAGACAGATGATGGCATGACTCGTATACAACAAATATTGGATATTGTCGGTTTGGGTTGTTGAGACGCAAACGGGTTGCCGCATCAAGCAGGTAGCCCTGAAAAGAGAGAACTGTGACCCTGGAAACTTTAAGAGGGAGAGGAACACTAGTCCAAAATAGGAGGCAAAGTTCAATATTGGCCAATCAGGGATGTTAACCCCACACCGTCTAGGGGCGAATGAGCGATGATCGCCCGCCACCGTAACCCCTGATTGGGTAATCTATCAAGTTGACCCATATGATTAATCCGCTTACCCCGAATTATCTGATCCTCGTCGCATCGGAGTCTCCGGTCGAGAGCGAAGGAAAGTAAAAAAAAAAAACTGGAGACAGTGCTCTGGACCACTCAGGAATTTCTCGCCTGGAACCTCCCGGGTCTCTGTCCCTCCAGATTATAGAAAACAGTGCCTCGCCAGCATCGCAGATCTTTCGTCTCTTCTTTCCATCCCATTGCGCCCAATATACTCAATTTCTGTCTATCCTTATACAGCCTTCCCGGAAACAATTGAGGATCTGGCATCCGGATTGGGCTTCCTGTAATTGGACAAAGGGTACATACAGCGATGGGTCTCCCAGCGACCGCTGAAGGGCTCGATGACAGCAAAAACATCGATCGGGCGATACTTGGAAAGGAATCATATAACTCGCAAAATGTGAAATCGGAGGCAAACAGTGCCAACGGCGATAGGTCATCACAATATGATCCCGAATCACCACCCACATCGGACGGTTCTCATGCAGGCGACACATTCGACGACGAGAAGGAATTGGCACAACACCCCGATAGTGTCACAGAGGGTGCTCAGTTGGGTCAGCAGAAGGCGGAAGCAGCGGCGCTTGCATGGAGCTGGCCAGCTTTGGTTGGAATATATGCTTGGTAAGTAGATCTCAGCCCATTCGTTCCTGTACTCTTGCGATGGAACCTTTTCTGACAATGATTGAACTTGCAGGATCTGGATTTGCACATTCATGTTGGCATTTCACTCGAATATAAGCGGTTTCCTCATCAACTATATCCAGGGAGGGTTCAAGACCGCACCGCAGGTCTCAACGTCCTATATCCTCGCGAATATTGTGGGCGGCGTTCTTAAGCTGCCGCTTGGTAAGACCTTGAACTTGTGGGGTCGTGCTGAGGCCCTGGTAGTCTCGACCGGCATTTACCTTCTTGGTATGATCATCCTCACGGCATGTGATGGTCCCAATGGATACGCGGCGGGCTATGTGCTATACTGGATCGGGTACTACTGCCTATATCTGATCTTGAACGTTTTCGTCGCCGATACCTCGGGTCTAAGAAACCGAGCGTTCGCTTTTGGCTTTATGCAAACTCCGTTTATCTGTACTGCCTTCACAGGCAGTCTTGCAGCAAACTCGATATATGGTAATTTCGGGTGGCGCTGGGGTTATGGCATCTTCTGCATCGTGATGCCATTTGTGTTCTTGCCACTCGCCATGGCTTTCAAATATTTCGAGAAGAAGGCAGAAAAGCGAGGTATTTTCCGCCGACAACCCAGTGGTCGCACTACTGTACAGTCTATCATCCACTACATCCATGAATTTGATGGTAAGAATACCCCAAACAAATATCGGGAGATTGACACTGACGTTCCGTTACTAGTTATTGGTGCTTTCTTGCTCATGGCTGGCTGGGTTATGTTCCTCCTGCCATTTAGTTTGGCACAATATGGCCGCTCCACATATTCAAGTGCAAAATTCATTGCTCTCCTCATTGTTGGAGTCTTCATGTTGGGTGTATTTGCAGCATGGGAGAAATGGGTTGCACGAAACCACTTTATCCGCTACGAGTTGATCAAGCGTCCGACCATTCTAGGCGCATGCATCCTAGCCGCCGTGCTGTTTTTCAGCTTCGAACTATGGGATCAGTACTTCTACAACTACGTCCTGATCTCCTACGATATTTCCCCAGTCCATGCAAATTACATGCTCCAGATTTACAACGTCGGGTCTTGCTTCTTTTCTCCCGTCATCGGAGCCGTCATCTGGGCCACTGCGCGCTTCAAGTACATCTGCCTATTCTTCGGAGCTCCACTCATGATCCTCGGATCTGGGCTGATGATCTACTTCCGTGGTGCAGACCACGGCATTGGCTATGTTGTCATGTGTCAGATCTTCATTGCCTTCGCCGGAGGTACCCTCGTCATTGGCGAAGACATGGCTGTTATGGCTGCAGGTGGCCGTGAGGGCACTCCGATGATGCTGGCCCTCATCGGACTGTTCTCGAACATCGGCGGTGCCATTGGCCTAGCTGTTGGCGCTGCTATCTACAACAATGTCTTTGTCGATACCCTTACGACACAACTGCCGGACAACCTGAAGGCCAATGCCACCCAGATCTACCTCGGTGGTATCACTGTGCAGTCAACTTACCCTTGGGGAACCCCTCTCCGTGAAGCCGTCGCGTACACGTGGGGCTATGCCCAACGCTTGAACTGCATTGCTTCTACTGCTATCTTGGCGTTGACTATTCCTTGCATCCTAGCCTGGAAGAACTACGACGTTAACCTGAAGCAGAATAAGGGTAAAATGATCTTCTAGAAAGACTTTCCGTTGCACAGTATACCCGTTTATGACGCACGGGTTGGGAAGCCTTGTTTATGTTTCGCGTTATTTGTGGTGTGCTGTATTCTCTGCTGTGTAGAGCAAAAGCCATCACTTCAATGTACATTTTTGTAATCTCTCGTTGATCGTGCACGATATTAATATATATATTTCATTGTACCAAATTGGTCATCCATTTTCGCAGTTATTTAAACCGAATAAATTTATATTCATTCTTTTCTTTTCTCTCCGTGGTGCAACTAGAGATATTATAGTCACCTTGAATCTCTCCTTATACTTCTAGAATTCATTACAAAAACGAGGCGACGGCAAGAAGACCGTGGTGGGGTTGACCGGCACCCGCGATTGGTGCAAGACTCATACATCCAAAGGTCGGCTTTCATTTCACCTACCCTTCTTTCTAACCATTGATCTCACTCTCAAGGAGAGATATCAAATTTTTTTCGTCATGCCTCAGTCTGCAGCAATGAATCTGCGTAATTCCTTTGGCGATCGAAAGATCCCCGATATTTCACGCAAGATCACGGCATGTGTCTTGTGTCGCAAACTCAAGGTCAGGACCACACGGTGTCCCAAAAAGAGTACCACGCACTAATATCGTGGCAGATAAAATGCCATATGAATGATAATAACCCTCCTTGCAATCGGTGCAAAGTGCGTGGGCTTGCGTGTTCGGTCAATAAGAGCCTCCAGATGCTCCTGGAGAATGATGCTTCGTATGTTGTCTCCATGGCTTCAGGTACAAATTTTGGTTTCAATAATCTAATGAAGAGGTTTAGATGGAAGGAACAGATGGAGGACCGAATTAGCAGACTTGAACAGTCTATCAAACAAAACACAACCCAGCCTTCTAGGATTACCCGGGGTAATGCTCCTCCGGCACAGCCATTTAACCTCAACAATAGTGAGACTGACACGCCTATCACTCTACCTAATCCTTTATATTCAGAGTCTTCTGCTACAGTCACCTTGGATCTCTCATGCAGTCTAGGCGCATTTCCAGCATCGTCAATGATCAATCTTACGTTGGGTGATATTGGAGCAATCTCAGGACGAAACCCTGACCCAGTCTCATGCGGGATCATCCCACAAGAAATAGCAGAGATACTCTTCGTGTTCTATAAGCAAAACTTGGATCCTTGTATTCATAATACCCTCGGCGACAACGACTCATTAAGCACCATCCGCGCACGCTCTCCCCTCTTCACTACAGCAATATGCACGGTATCTGCATTTTGCACTGGCTCCAAGTACTACAACACCCTACTGAAGCATTTCACTACCCAAGTCTCCGGGAAAGTATTTTCGAGCAATCACACATTCGACGATGTCCGCGCGCTGTGTATTGGAGCTTTGTGGCTAAACGAAGTTTCCACCGCGCTGAACAGTTTAGGTGAGAGCTAGTGAGACCAACGGCCTCAAACTTTGCATACCAGTATACTAACAAACAACAAGCCGTTCGAATTTCTACAGAGCTAGATCTACACAGGTGCATTACCAAAATGCCCCACACCAAACGAGCCTGCTACGACCGTACTCGGCTATACTGGCTGGTATACCTCTGCGACCACCACTGCTCTCTCATCCACGGAAGACCTCCCCTTACACGAGACTTCCACTCATTAAGAAGGCCAAGGGACTTTCTGCAGAGTTATTACACCAACCCTTCTGACTTAAGTCTCATCAGCCAGGTCGAGCTGTGGTCCATCAGCAGTCGGGTCTTCGACATGTTCGGTGCTGATATTGAATGCAAGGCCACTAGCCAACGGTCGGATAAACTGGAGCAGTTGAGTGATAGCTATGGTGGATGGTTAGAAGAATGGCTTACCATGCTTTCCTTCACGAACGCATCGGCTACATTTTCACGTCGTGTCTTTGATCTTTACTTCCATTCTGCTAAATTGTATCTTTTCTCGCACATCTTTCGAGGCTCGTCGCAGGATACAAAACTCCCGAAAGCTGGGGCCGAAGGTGGATCTGATACTGGTACAGACGAGTTCGCACATGGCGCGGTGAGAAGTGCGTTGGCAATTATCAAATGCATTGTCGATGATGACGAGTCATCCTCATGGCTGGGAAAGCTACCAACCTATATCGGAACCATGGTAGCATTCGCGTGTGTCTGCCTGGTGAAGGTATCCGTCCAACAAGGACCATATGACCTGCAAGATGAGGGTATTCCTGGCTACCTTCAGCGACTCGTCCAGGTCCTCCTCTTGTCGCCGGTCGTCAACCATCCCACGCATCCGTTGCTGAGCATTGCTAGAAGCCTAGAGACTGCTGCTGCTCTCGCTGGATGTGTAAATGGTGTAAATGGTCAAGACTCTCTTGCCTCAATCGATATGCGGGATTTGGACCTTGATTTCGGATTTTTTGACATGTTTACCAGCGACGCGTCAAATGGATGTCCTGATAGCCACGGTGCATTTCCAGGGATTTGAGATCAATCATATTGCATATTGCCAATCGAATCAGAAAATGAGGCGAGATCCTTGCAGCAAAAGTTTATGATCTTCTCTCATTACTCCGTAGCTAAACTTGGAATGCCCGGCTCGGCTCGCTTCGTTCTGATTTATGTATGCATTGGCCCTGGTGTCCACTCTGTATTTCTTGGCATTATGAGCATTTCAATCAAGAGTCCCTCCGAGCATTTGAACTCCCCCAAATGCCAAGGAATGCTCGGGAAAGACGCGTAATTCATTTACCGAGCCGACGAGATGTATTTACCTGGAACGTACTCTAGATCTGCTATTTCCTAAAATAATAATACAGAGGGCAATAATTAAAATTGGAAAGAATAGTAATATTTCAATTATTAAGCTCGATTAAGATCATTTTAGGTATTGCTTTTTTACATATTCCATATTGGGCTCTTTTAAATGATATGTATTGACGATACATACTAAAATATTAAGCGAGTCGAGCATCTGACCTTTAGCTAAATAGGTCTAACACCTAGGTAGCATAGAAACCGAGAGAAAAAAAAAAAAAACCAATCACAACACATGGCTGCCCTAACGTAAGATTTTAGGCGCATCATATACGGACTAGTTGCAGGGCCAAGCAAACGAGGCCTGGAGCTTTCCCGGTGCACAATTCTTATGTACTGGCCAGTACCGCCTTAGAAGTGGAATCTGGTGGAACCTTTCTTTTTGCGGGGAACAAAGCTTGGATTCCCAAATGCCAGTGCTTCATCTGCTTTTCAGAGTTCCCCCGACTGCAAGGTTATGTATTCGCTGCTATTCAATTATGCGTCGCACCACATTTTATGAGATTCATTTACAAGCAACGCGAAATGATGTTTATTCGGACCGATTAACTCTCCGACCCATAAGGACTAGATATCCTTGGCCAAATTAATGAGTTTACCCGGGTATTAGGCATCGGCTGCAAGATGTACCCCCTTGTAATGCAGAATAAGAAAGTTATGCCCGCGGGTGCTCAAAGGCGGCTCCGAATGTGGTCCTCGTTTATAACAGGTAGGTTCCCGTTGGCGTTTGGGGTATTATTATGTTATTATCGCGCTCATCCCCTCTCCTTCGTCTTTTATTCTTCTAACCGGAAGAACCATCCACAAGCCCATTACTACTCTTTAGATACCCTCGATTCCAACCTATATTAATCCTGGAACGAGGACAAATCCAATCCACAACCAGTTGTGACGCGGGCGTGCGACTTTGTATTGTTTTTATATCGGTGACATATCTCCCAAAATGAAAGACGGCTCAGGTAGGACTTTCTTTATTTTCTTAATGTCCCTATCTGAAAATGATCTTCACCACATAAACTTAGTGAAGAGAGAAATATCTAAAATGTTCATGCAGAAACCCCCTCCGTCGATGGATCGACAATAAGCACGAGTAATCGGGAAAAACTAGGAGCAGATCTCGAAAATGGCCCCCTCGATTTGAAAGATGTCGCAAAAGAGGAAAAAACGAGAGATCCAAACATCGTCGATTGGGATGGACCAGATGATCCCGAAAATCCTCTCAACTGGACCTCGGGAAGGAAGATCACAGCGACATGTTCTATTGCGCTGATCACGTTTCTGACGTATGGCCGGTCCTTTCCTGTATCATTCAGATGATAAAAAGCTAACTTCTGAAAACTAACAGCCCTCTCGGATCATCCATGTTCGCCCCCGGTGTAGGCCAACTAGTCAAAGACTTTAATGTCACCAGCACTGAACTGGCATCGTTCGTGGTATCGGTATACCTGCTGGGATACTGTTTCGGCCCCCTGCTCATCGCACCTCTATCGGAGTTGTATGGTCGACAGTACGTCTATCATGTATGCAATGTCCTATACGTGATCTGGACCATTGCCTGTGCCTTTGCGCCCGAGATAGGCAGTCTTATTGTCTTCCGATTCCTCGCTGGCTTTGCCGGTAGCTGTCCGCTGACGATTGGCGCCGGCACGATTGCGGATATGTTCGTACAAGAGCAGAGAGGGGGTGCGATGGCAGCTTGGGCTCTTGGCCCTTTGATTGGTCCAGTCGTTGGTCCTGTTGGTATGTTAATTTCCCTGATGCTTTCTTTAGTTGATAACTAAAGTGCTAGGCTAACTTGGCATAGCGGGTGCATATCTGGCACAGGCAAAGAGTTGGCGATGGAGTTTCTATGTGCTGGCGATGGCTGTGAGTTGAGACTACAACACCCAACGGTAGAACATATACTGATAGAACTGGCAGGGTGGTGCTATCACCGCTAGCTCCATAATAACCATCCGCGAATCATACGCCCCGACTATCCTGGCTCGGAAGACCAAGAAGCTCCAGAAGGAAACTGGGAACATGAACTTGCGCTCTGCACTCGACACAGGCCGTACACCAAAGGAATTATTCCTATACTCCATTGTGCGACCGACGAAGATGCTCTTCCTCTCCCCGATCGTCTTCCTTCTTTCACTTTACGTCGGCGTCATCTACGGATACTTATATCTGCTGTTTACAACTATCACCTCCGTATTCGAAGAGCAGTACAATTTCTCTCAGGGATCAGCTGGACTCACTTATCTGGGTTTGGGCGTTGGCTCGTTGATCGGGTTGTTCATTCTCGGAGCAACCTCCGACAGACTACTCAACTATCTATCCGTCAAGAATGGTCAGAAAAAGCCCGAGTATCGTCTTCCTCCTATGATCCCTGGAGCCGTTTTCGTCCCCATCTCGCTGTTCATGTATGGGTGGACTGCCTATTACAAAACCCACTGGATTGTGCCTATCATCGGTACCTCCTTCCTCGGTACTGGCATGATGATCACCTTCGTAAGTTCCTTTCCCCCTACCTGTGACTCCCTTCTGCTTTGAATTAACCAGCTTACATTTGGGTTGACTGTTTAGATGTGTGTGAGCACATACTTGGTGGATGCCTTCACAGATTACGCCGCTTCTGCCATGGCAGCCAACACGGTGTTCCGTTCACTGGCCGGTGCCATGCTTCCACTTGCCGGCCCGAAAATGTATGAGGCTCTTGGACTTGGCTGGGGTAATTCGCTACTTGGATTCATTGCCTTGGCCTTTTGCGCATTGCCTATTATCTTTTGGGCTTATGGCGAACGCATAAGGACGAGCCCAAGATTCCAGGTGAACTTCTGATCGGGTAGCGGTACTCGCTTCGGGCACTGTTGGGTTATCGCGTCTATTTTGCTTGTCTCCATTACAGTTCGTACCCATATACGCGAGAGAAATTAAAGATAGATATAATTTGAGGGTGTAGATTGGTGCCATGGGGGTTAGAACAATAAAGAACTTGCCGGTTTATTGATAACTTTGAGAGTCAAGCGACAGAGATAGTTATTACCTAACTAATCTCACATCAGTATACACTGCCTCGGCATATATTCTTGACAATCCTCCGATGATGCCATGCTTTCAAAGACTAGAAAGAGAAGTTAACCAAAGGACAAAGTGCCAGTAATTGTTACAAGGATTCGGCAGTAACAGAGATAAACTTAACTCACATTCCCTTTCAGCTTGCTTACTCTCGGCCGTATCATGCCACAGCCTCAACAACCATGTAGCGACCAGTGCATCCCTCGACACCTGCGACATACTGCTCGTAACGGATAATTTATATCTGTCATCTTCCTTTTCTTCAACGGCGACCTGTCTGCCATTGGAATCGCTCCACTTGTAGCAATTTCGACCGACTTTCCAGTTTGGTTGGATATCAAACAGTAGGAGTTGTTGCGTTCCCTCGTAGAATAATGGCTTATCCGAGGCGGTCCTTTTCGTGCTCAACATTGCCTTGAAGGATGTCTTTTGAAATCGTGCCTCAGAATTCTCGAAGCGGATATTGCCCACCATCTCGGGCACCGCAGATGTGATGTAGTACTTAGCGGGTATATCGGTGCGGTATTGCGCATTCACAGGGTGTGCAAGATAGAAAATATGTCTTTTATGCTGCGTACCAGGAGTCACACCCTCGATTTCCGTCTCGGAATCAGATACATCTTGCTCGACTCTTTCGAGTGCCACAGATGAGTCCTTATTCAAGATTGATCTGATGTCCCTGTTTAATTGGTAAAGTAGGGTTGGAGTTGCAGACTCGACAAAGACAGATTGGCCTGACAAGAAGAGGACGGCGGGCTGAAGTATTTCCGTTGAGGTGTTTCCACCAGTTTTCTCGTACGATTCAGAGCCTGGATCCATTGTCTTGGGCACCGAGTTCGGTCCGGATCTGTCAACACTTCCAGCAATATAGTACGTGACGACCTGGTAACGAATGATGCAAAATATCTTTGACAATGCATATAGAAGGTGGTAAGCATTATGGCCTGGGGGCTCAGTTGGAGCGTACTGGGGCATAAATAGACCGCGGGCGGGACAAGGGTTACCCCGGTTGCCCACGTGGGGCAGCCCCCAGGGCCGGGCAATAACATGACGTAAATCAGTCTTGGCCTCCAGAGCTATCCCGTTATCGTCACCCTAGCATGGTTTGATGTTGTAGTATGATATATGGTCACAGGGCAGGCATTAATTATCCTGTGCGTACAGTTACATATGCATAACAAATTTGGGATTATTTTCCTGAAGTCTTCTTTCCCATATCAACCACAAATCTGCTCGTTTTCCCCTTTACGTGCAGTGTATAGAGCCTGATTGCAGTGACGATAACCATAAGAGTCCAGCGTCCTCCCAATGCACCCGACTGACCATCCACCACTTCAAGAGTGAACGCATGTGTCAGACTGGGCCAAGCCATGACCCATCCAAGAAATGCGACAATCTCACCATCTTTGCCTGCTAATGGAGCCGAGGACGAAGACGAAGACGGCGCTTGGCCACTACTGCTACCGCTCGGCTGGGATGATTGTGGGCTAGACGAGAATCGAACCAACTTGAACCCATTTCTCTTGGCTTGATCCTCGCCCTTCTTGATCTTCCTCCACGCAAACTCCTCCCTCTGCTCCTTGTCGCCTACTTCTATAGAAAAGTGGAAGGCGATATCGTTATTTGTACCGGGTTCGGCGCGTAGCAGTTCTGTATCCATGCGATCCGACTTCGGGACCGGATCAAGTGGCGGTAAGAAAACGATGCCGTCGGGATTGAACGCATGGAGCCCGCGCGACTCATCGCCAGCGGCAGCAAGAAGTGGATCCTTCGTGCTCATCCCATTTCGAAGGAGAAAGCCCGTTCTCATCCCAAGTGGAGCTTTGCCGCTATAGCCAGTTTGCATCTCAATCAGACACTGACGATCCTTGGCATTCGAACCACCACAGAGATTCATAGATTTCCATTTTGTCCACTGGCCATGTACGCTCATAGTTGACGGAAGCGAACCATAACGAGATGATGTTGTGGGGCAGCTCAATGCCTCATGATAGGCTGGCGGAGCATCATTTTCTTGAATGCTTCTTTCGTCTTGGGTTCCCATGTTGGTATAATCGAGAAAGAAGATAAATCTAGGACGCTGGCCAATATCGTTGACTCTGGCTCATAGGCATTGAACTTATGCGCTTTACATAATATCTTCCGTCTCATATCCATAGTTACTCCGCCACTGTAGACTATTAATGTTTTAGTGGGCCAAGAACCAAGTTGAATAATTATTGGCCTTGATTGGTTCTCTCTAAATTAGGAAGATATGTGGATCGCTGTTCCTGGGGGCCAAATACACTACCTTCCTGTCTTGGCTCAATAATTTGATCTACTCGAAATTAAATCAAAGTGTTTGCAACAACTTTTCCGACTAGGTAAGTTACCCGTCAAGCACAGTCTATTTACAATATAAGCCGCTTATGCACGTGGCCCATGTCCCCTAGCCTACCTGTCCCTCTTTGGCCCCCACGGCAGATTGACAAGAAACCCACCCATGAAAATTCTGTGATTGGAATATTACGGAGTGGTTTGAATTTACCTGATTTTATTTTGTATGAAGAGCAGAATAGTTGGCCGTTCATGCGATATCTATCCTTGACAACGAAGAAGAACTAATAATCTAATATATTTGGCTTTATGTGGGTGATATTAGAAATTTTGTATATAAGATGATACTAGGAATAATCCCGCTACAAAGAAATTGTTTCGCATTTCAACGCCTTTTCCGCCTTTTTATTGTCACGTTTGAAGAGAGTAATAATATCATCAACAGATGTCGGTGAAGTAATCTGACGAAGACAGATCGATCTTTAGGAATGGGACACGACCCTCAATCCGCAGCCAAGTTGGAGGTGAATGACGGTTAGTTGGTTATGATGAGGGACTTTTCCCTTGGAGAGATTTACCTGGGCATACTTGGGTAGGTAGGCTGTTGAGTGTTCGGATGATATAGCCTCGGAAGTTATGTTTGTTAATTGAGGCCCTGAGGTGTAAATGGTTAATGCCTAAAATGCCCAGCGCCTTCTATGGTTTTCTCGAATGTCTGAATTTTGGAAAATTGATGTGTTGTGTGAAGCTTTACTAGTATCAAGATTACGATTACATAGTTAGAGAGATCGGCTCTAAGTCGCTTCTTGAAACATATACAACCTTGGAACCTTTCCTTGATAATATGATTAAGCGATATCTCGCCTGAACATGTTTCTGATCCATACCTTATCTAATTATCGCTAGCCGAATGCTAGAATATACAAGTACAAATTGGGCCAATCTCAAAGCGGGGCTAGCTCGCATTTTTATGATCTTATTTGATGCTTAGTTGGGTTCGAATTTCAACTTTGCTAACCATAATTCAACTAAGATCAGACTATCAGCAAGCGAGAACCCGATCCCCACGGTATGCAATGCTTTATCTAAACTAGTTGGTCTGCTTGATTTATCTCGCATCCTTCAACATTGAATTGAAAGTTGAAGCAGAACAGTGAAGATGCTGAACAACTGTGATATATATTGCACCAACAAGGGATAACGAATTAGATATTAACTTTCCATTACATGCACAGAAGGTTATTTTTGAAAGCATAGGTTTTTTTGTCAGATGTGAAGACCCTGCATTGAGTGTTTTATAGCATGTGATAGCAAAAGTTCACATGGACCGGTGATCCCGTGTCGGTAATTTGTTACTCTGAACTCCCGACTCGAAACTGCTTAGCCACCCGCACTGTTGTCATTGGTATCTACTTCATACCAGTGGTGCCTCTATATATCCAAGGGTTATTTTCTTACTAGAACCCCCGAAGGTTTCCCCCACCCCCCCCTCCTCCCCTTTCTGTCCGTGGGTGGAAGTGTCGATTATATAAGCCACAATGAGGCGCCCCCCGGGGACCTCGGGATCCCCCTGGGGGCCCCAGGGTCCCGGTCCGGTGCCTGAAGGGGCACCGTCTCTGCGAATCACGCAGTGTCATATGCAGATCCCCCAGAAAGAACCGAGGTCGAGGCCACCGATCTAATTTCACCGAGATATGAAGTGAAAATGAGGCTTCTTGTTTTTCTTTTCGTTTTCTTTGCTGGTACCGGATCACTTTGATTCCTTTTCTGAATGGCAACCATCAATGCCATCGCGTCGTAGTCACACGAAGTCTCGAAAGGGGTGTTTGGAGTGTAAAAGGAGACATGTAAAGGTCAGTGTCAGCAAGTTTGCTCCCCTGAACCCGTCAGGCGTGTTGGATGTGGCTCAAGCGGCCTTTCCGGATGCCAGTAAGCCACCAGCGAAGAAAGACTCATATTCTGACACAACGGTCAGTGTGATGAGAGCATCCCAAAATGTACTCTGTGCAGGAAGCGAAAATTGGACTGCAGATATCCTCCCCCAAATGAAGATCAGGATAGCCCCGGGGCATCGTCCAGTGCCCATGATGAAACAGATAGTGGCACTGTGACCCCGGCAAGGGATTTCCCACAGGCAACGCGCTTGCTTGAAACGAGATTATTCCATCAGTATATGACTTCAACGTACCACACTCTGTCACAGGACGGGCTATCAGCACACCATCTCTCCATGACGATTCCTCGCATGGCCGCATCTTGTCCTTACCTGCTTGACAGCATCCACGCATTTTCAGCCTTACACTTGGCCTCAGTTGAAACTGATAACCGGGCTTCATGGTTGAATCATGCCGTGCATTATCAGAGCCAGGCATGCGCTGGATTGAGCAAGGTTCTGCCGCAAATTTCACCACCAGATTATGAACCAGCATTTGTCTCATCCATCATCATAATGCTCTTTGCTATGGGATCTCGAGTATTATCTCTTGAAACGCGACCTCTGGACCCGCTTTCGGTGGTTCTTGAGGCTCGCACATTGATGTCTGGCCCCGCCATGCTTCTTTCCCGCATACTTGAAGCCGGAGTTGGCTCGCAGCTGGATGGATGGCTATGCAATCCTGATACACAAGAAATTCTCGAAGCTGGGAAACATGATTAGTATGGAACCCCTTCCCTCTGACTGATTTGTGAAGGCTGGATGATAACACGAAACAGTGGCAGCTATCCGGACGAGAGCACACACGTATTATTCACCCTCCACAAGTATGTTCCCGTGACGTATGGAGTAACGGTGTAGGGCTTGCGAAGCTGATCATCAACATAGAGACATAGTGACGTCGCTGGATCGACTTCAGTCGATTATTGACACAACAAAAGGGTCGGACCAACCGATCTACCTAGCCACATGGCAGCAGCTTCATGAGGCCATCGAACCTTGGCCAAAAATTGGACCGCATGGCGGCCCCCTTGCATGGCCCTTATTCCTCTCCGACAAATTTTCGTCACTACTCAAACATGGCGACTGGATTGCCCGGATTTTGTTTCTACATTTTGGCATCGCTATGCGTCTCTTGTGCCACCGATGGTACGTGCGCGACTGGGGTCGTCGGCTAGTACTAGCCACGCTGGAAGCACTGGACAATGTTCCTCAGGAGTGGGAGGAAACTATTTCTTGGATAAGACAAGCCGCTGCGAGGGGAGGACTAACCGCGGCATTGATTGAGCGTGCGGGGTATAGAGTATTGGGGTTATAGATTTGGGGTATTTATTATTTTATTCATAACAAAGGATAGGTCAACTAATGACCGAATCATATCGAAGGGAGATAAGATGCTATAGATGGAGTATGGCGTTTGATCCTGTTGACCCCGAAAAACTTCCGAGCCATAACATTTGCCCCCGACAGGTGCCCGACAGCTTATCAGCGGGGTCGGAGGCCCCAGAACACTCCGCTACGGAGTACGGAGTAAATTAAACATATTGGAAGATGATCTTCTAATCTTTCGAAATGTTCCATCTGTTATTTCCTTTCCTCGTTCCTTATCTCTCGGTGCTGGCTGTATTCGCCAAGCAACCTGGAGCCCGCTGATCCTATACAAAAGCGTTGGGAACCTAGGAGGCCTCCAATCGTGATATGCAACACCCCTGTCAGATCAGCCAAGATGTGGAGAAGGTAAAGCTGTCTTTTCCCTCTCCGTTACTACCTCATTTGCGCCCGGGTTGAGAGTATTAATATCGGGTCTATAACAGCTTGGGGTTTTGCCAGCCTCTTCTTCTCCGGGATCTCCTTTTGCACAACATTCCATATCGCGGAGAAATTGGAGGCAGACTCTTGTCAACATGTCGCAGCCGTTGAAACTCGGATTTTTGGCGATTTTGTCACTGCTATTGATCGCAATTCATCTGCCCAGTGCAAGCACCTCCCCTTTGGAGTTCTCCGAGCGAGACCTGAATGCCGATCTCGGGTCGCATGGTGGAATTGGCCCTGGAAAGCTGGGTGCTGTTGCTAGCGAAAGCTCGGTCTGCTCCGGTCATGGATCTGATATTTTGAAAAAGGGCGGAAACGCCGCTGATGCTGTGAGTATACCCATCGAGGTGGGCTTTGGGGTGAATCTCGGTGTTGACAATGACATAGTTGGTTGCAACCGAGTTTTGTATTGGTGTCATAGGTGAGGCTACATTCATCCGGTTAATAATTGTATCTGAGCATAGCTAACGGAGACTAGGGATGTACCACAGTGGGATCGGTGGAGGTGGCTTCATGCTCGTGAGATCAGCAAAGGGTGATTATGAGTTTATTGATTTCCGAGAGACGGCGCCGGCTGCGGCATTCGAGGACATGTACAAAAATAACGAAGATGCTTCCGTATACGGCGGACTGGCAAGGTAAGACGAATATGCGGAGCTGATGGGGGTCAAGCTAACAGCTATACAAGTGGAGTGCCGGGCGAAGTACGAGGTCTTGAATACCTTCACAATAAGTACGGCTCGCTTCCATGGTCGACTGTTGTCGAGCCCGCTATCCGTACAGCCCGTGACGGATTCCCTGTCACAGAAGATCTTGTCAAATACATGAAATCTGCCGTTGGAAGTGGAGAGGACTTCTTATCTAAGAATCCCACATGGGCAATTGACTTCGCTCCGAACGGAACCAGGCTTGGGCTGGGCGATACAATTACCCGACGCCGGTATGCGGATACCCTCGAGGCTATTGCACAGCGTGGCGCGGATGCGTTCTACTCGGGCCCTATTGCAGAGACTATGATCAATGCGCTTCAGCGCGAAAACGGCACAATGACACTCGAAGATCTTAAAAACTACACTGTGGCTATTCGGAATGTCTCTCAGATAGACTACCGTGGCTACAAGATCACGAGTACGTCGGCCCCCTCGAGTGGCAGTATCGCCCTGAGTATTCTGAAGATTCTCGGGACATACAAGGATTTCTTCTCGACTGAAAAATCCGTGAATTTGAGTACCCATCGGTTGGACGAGGCGATGCGATTTGGATATGGCGAGGTATGAATGACCGATTGTTATTTCACCCGTGAACTCTGGTCAATGGTCGCTTACATGAAACACAGAGATCTAATTTTGGCGATCCCCTATTTGTTGACGGCCTGGCCGACTATGAGAAGAGTATTTTGGATCAGTCTACTATTGATGACATTCGATCCAAGATCTCGGATGTGCGGACTCAAAACGTATCTGCTTATGATCCAGCTGGACTGGAAAGCCTGGACACGTAGGTCCTACTTAAAGCATCATTTATTAACATTAGGCTAACTGCGCATCAGCCCTGGAACTTCCCACATCGCAACAGCTGACCACACTGGACTTGCAATCTCGGTAATTACCACTGTCAACCTATTATTCGGTAGCCATGTCATGGTCCCAGAAACCGGTATCATCATGAACAACGAGATGAACGGTATGTTGGAAAAGCCTGTCCTAGGTCACAGGGTCAACTAACATTTTCACAGATTTCTCTATCCCTGGATCGTCGAACTCATTTGGTTACATCCCCTCTCCATCCAACTACATTCGCCCCGGGAAAACGCCCTCTCTCCTCCATCACGCCCGCGATAGTTGAACGATCCAATGGCAAGTTATTCTTGATTGCGGGATCTGCAGGAGGAAGCCGTATCATCACTGCTACTGTCCAGAATATCATTCACTCCATTGATCAGGGACTCTCCGCCGCCAAAGCGTTGGCCAAACCCCGCCTGCATGACCAGCTGGTGCCAAATCAGGTCACCTTCGAATACACTTATGACAACGCCACTGTTGCCTCCATGAAGGCACGCGGCCATAATGTTACTTGGGTTGCTCCGGGACAGAGTACTGCCCACTTGATTCGGGTGTTGCCCAATGGAACATTCGATGCTGCTGGAGAGCCGAGGCAGCTCAACTCGGCCGGGTATTCTGTATAGAATGGGATGCGTGGGCACTGTGGATGCCAAATTACATACATTGTCAGGTGTATATAAGGTACAAAAGCATTACTATAAAAGATTCTCAATCTAACAAGTTCAACTCTTTCGCAAATGCAGCCCTGGGTAGATTCTTTGACGGTAGATTGGCGTTTCTTATCGGATGGTCTGTGCTTTCAATATTCCCTTTTTTGATGTAGAGAGCTCCAACTCACTTGACCTTTTCTCCTCCTTTAAAAGTCTAGACTGACGTAAAGGGTTGATCTGAACTTGTCACTTCCTTAGTTTTGTTTTACTGGTTTCATTGACACGACATCGCGTCACCTTATCAAATTTACACGTGAATCGGCTTCCCCGCGTCAAAGGGAGCTAGGAAGCTTTACTCGCGATTTCCCCGAGACCAGGACGCATTACACTCGCATAGGATACTAGCAGGTACTTTCTCTTGTTCTTTGTCTGCTTCTGTACTTGCATTAACCAGATAGCCCTTCATCCAAACAGTTCACACTCAATCCAACCGCTACCGCGATATGTCTACGAACCCTTCAAGCTTCACCAACCTCCTACCCTAGAGAACCTGCCATCTACTGAGGTATCAGGAATACAATGGCTCGACTCAGCAACGTCTCCGTTGTTGTTCCTCTTCCATCCTTCGACATCGACCCCCTCAAGACCTTTGACGAAGGCTTCTTTGACCGTGCTGTTGACAACATCTTGTCAGAGGAGGCGAGCTTAGAAGAATCCCGGGACGAGATGATGAACGGTAACAGTGGCATGTCGAGTCCATTTGGGTATGATGGTGCGTCTGACTCCTCGAACCTCAACGTCCGTCGTAGCCAAAGGACCGGAGCCAACTCGGCGCATTTTTCCACAACATCGACCTCATCACCTACAACTACCTCCACCAAAAAGCCCAAGTCGAGAAGGTCTTCCGGAATACGGAAGATTGTTACAATGGAGAATCTCAATGATCATAGCGAAGCCCCTATTAGCCTCGAGGACACCACACAACCTCGGCGTGAGGGGGAAATCCTACAAGTTAAACCTTATCCCAGTCACGAGGCTGGTGATCACCCCCTCTACAGTTCCTAAAATTACGGACTCCGTGGCAGTTCCCACTGGTGATAACGAAATGACGGCGGAAGACAAGATCTTTGCTTCGGTGGACCCCGAAAAGCAGATGGAGGTGTTGAAGTTCGTTGTATCACACTCTTTTATGACAGAACAAGTTCAACATATTCGACGTTCGGCCCGGCGAAAATTCACTGACCAAGTCCGAGGCGTCGCTGCAGAGGCTGGAATGAACGACACCGCTATCGATGCCTTGGTTGACCACGTTCGAAAGATCTATCTCGAGGACCGTGGAGTTGCAGTAGCTGATGATGCCGGCTCTGCATTTGGGGATGAAGTAGACGGCGAGGAAAAAACACATACCAAGAGTTCGCATCGGAAACGGCGCAAGAGCAGCTCATCCCAGCCTGAGGACAAGAAGCATAAGAAGAGCAAGAAACAACACTCAGATAAGGCAAGGCGACACAGCCATGACGCTATACAGCATGATGAGCCAACCAAAGTCGTGGAGGCTTATGTCCCGGCCGGTGTTCTTACTAAAGGCCAGGACAATGGCTTAGTTAAACCGGAGGAATGGAAAGATAAGGACAACACGCCGGATCTACCAAAAATGCCTACAAACATCATTCGGGCTAGTCCCAGCACACCTATAGACCTGACTAACTCTGCCCCTTATCACGAGCTCACCCGTGAAGCGGATATGGTTCCACCTCAAAACCAAAAACTTCATGTCATCCGGGAGATCAAGCATCTTCGGGACAGCAGCAAAAATGGTATCACGTCTCACCTATCACTCGACACACCGACAGGGATTATTCAGATTCCATCACCTGACCAAGCCGTTGGACAAAAGCCGTCGAAATGTCGTGAGTCAGGTAAAGGATCACAGAGAGACAAGAACAAGCGCAAGCGCGAACGGAGGAAGGAGCGCAACAAAAATCGACGAAAGTTGGGTGGAAATCAACACCCTCAAGAGGGCTCGGTCGATCAAGCAGATGAAGACTCAATCCCGCCTTCCATTCCACAAGGAACCCCTTCCGATAGCCCAAATGGAGGCAGGCGGAGCTCCAGTCAGCTTCCGCTACCCGCCGATCCATCCCAGTGGACGATGGATTTTTGAATACCAGTGATTTGCCAGGTGTGACTCCAAGTGATGAGGTTCAGTCTAAGTATTTCTTAGGAGCCGGCAACCCCAAAGTTGGCTCGAAAAACAAGCGGGAAACGGTTTCCTCGCTGTACGATTTGTCTATTCCAGCCCAAACCCGACAGCTGTTGAAAGATTTGAATCTACCCCCGGACTTCTTGTCGTCAGATTCTTCCTTGAGTGATGCGCCGAGTGATTTTGAATCCGATCGGGATGCTTTAGATGATCCCCCGTCGCATGTTCAGATCCAGTTATCACCCCCGAAAAGCCCCTGCCTGGTCCCCCAATTCACCAAGCCTGACCCTCAAACTCCGGTGAAATCCACTGCTTTCACCATCCCAGAACCCATCAAAACCCCTCAAGCCAAACCCTTGAAACATTCTCCTTATTTCCCGCGTGTGCCAATTGATCCGGAATCATGCCTCCCGTTTCCCCCATCGACGCATCTTCTTTCGGACTCATTCAGGAGCAACTTGCACATGACCCGTTTCGTTTACTCATTGCAACCATTTTTCTCAATCGAACCCGCGGGGGTGTTGCCCTGCCGGTTTTGTTCCAAGTGTTTGAACGATACCCTACGATTAAGGCAATGGCCGAGGCAAACCCACCGGAGCTCGTATCGATGATAAACTGCCTGGGCTTTCAAAATCAACGTGCAAGGAAATGCATCACATTGGCACAAACATGGCTATCAGACCCCCCGAACAAAAGCAAAAGATATCGCAAGCTCCACTATCCACGAAAGCTTGATGGTCGAAATGTCGGTCGTGAAGAGTGCATTGACGAAGAAGATTTGCGAGTGGCATGGGAGATCGCACATCTACCCGGAGTTGGAGCGTATTCCCTTGATAGCTGGAGGATCTTCTGTCGTGACGAATTACGGGGGAAAGCCTCTGACTGGAAAGGAACGGATGCTGCAGAGATCGGGTTTGTGCCCGAATGGAAATGCGTTCTGCCACACGACAAGGAACTACGTGCTTATCTTACATGGATGTGGCTGAAAGAAGGATGGATTTGGGATTATAACACGGGTGATCTGACACTTGCGAGTGACAAGATGATGAGAGCTGCGCAGAGTGGAGGAGTTGCTCGTGAAGAAGAGGGAAATTGGGTACTAGAGACCTCCCCTGTCAAGGCTGTGAATGGATTACATGAATCAGATTGATTCCAAGTGTTGATGTACATGATGTGCTGAATATCAGGTTTTCAAATCCACATACTTGTATATGTAGTTGCCTCAGGCATTATAAATTTGTGTTCCCTCAGATTTTCAGCTGAGAGGGCTATGTACTCTTGATATATATATATATATCTCTCTCTCTCTCTCAGGATCCGATTTCAGGCTTCCATGCAGCAAAACCACGTCAGTTAAAAGAGCGGGGCCCAGATTACTCACCGCATAATCACATAGTGTGCTTCTTTCCACTTCCAACCATTTCATGCGTCGTACCTGAATGAGGTTATTCTTTTCTTTTCTTTTTTCCAACTCATATCCCTTTCTTTCCCCCAGACCCCAGACACACGGAATGCCGGATTGGTTCCCGCACATTTGCGACGTTAAGCGACCAGTCACAATCACTCACAACCAGTCACGGCCCGAACTAAGCGCCAGGACAATTGGAGACAAAAATAGGACCACATTCCCCTCAGTGGCGGTGCGAGCCTAGACAGGTAACGACTCTTTCGCGCCGTCCTCAACACGATACGGATTTCGCCATGTTTCCTGTTAGACTAAACCGCGACGATAGGAAGTCGAAGACCGTCAAGGCCAAGACAAACAAAACAAACAGAAAGACCTCAACCAAGGACCCAGAGGATCCTACCACGGCTCGCTCATCCACTTCCCAACGCAGGTCCTCCATGCCTGGACTCGAGAGATCAGAGGCCTCGTTCCTTGAATCGAGAACGAGTCTACCGTACCCTACTTTCTCCAAAGCTCACAGCAAGGAGGGCGTCCGAGCCAGCATCCCTACACCAGACCCGACCGATTTGACACATGACGACGGGAAGAACGGTCACCGCGAGAATCACCATGCGCCTCCTAGTCCGCCCCTGACTGGTCTCGACCAGGAGTCGAGGAAGGGCAGTATCGTCAACGAGGATGAGAAGGAGGCAGACAAACCCAAGAAAAAAACAAATATAAAAATCAGAGCCTCCGAAGTCAACAGGTCCTCATCGAGTCTCCGGTCAAAACGCGATGATAGCACCAAGTCCAAGTCCAGCAAGACGTCGCGAGCAGAGACCCCTACAAAGTCCAGACCTAAGGATGAGACTGAAGCTTCGCCTCGGGCATCAAGCCACAAGTCTAAGACAAAGGTCTCTGATGATCGGAAACTACCCAAGCGGTCGAGTCGCTCGACGATGTCTGCCTCACAATCGAACGTTACGCTTCGTGATATCGGCGCAGAGTCAGCTAACGGGTCCGATGCGACGTCTATTGCGCCCAACCAGCAGCATTCGGTGCCACGAAAACCCATGACCCCACCTACGAAGCCTCCCTCTCGAACCCAGAACCGATCGGCCATGTCCCATCGTCGCACTCCAAGCGACGAATCGATCGATTTTGTGAAACCAAGCAATCCAAATTCGTTTGGCGCGCCCCCCGCCTCCCCCGCCTCCGCCCGAAATGCCTGCTACTATTCCCCGAGTCGATTACTTACTGAAAAATGGTGGTTTGGAAAATAAGGTCTCGAGGGCGCTACTGGCTAGCCTCGGGCAGAAGGATCCATTTTCGCAAGGACAACCCCAGTCCCGGGCTATCGCTGGCAAAATCTTCGATCCGTATAACCGTTTACTAGATGACTACCAAAAGGTCATGAGTAAGAATGGGTCCCTCGCTGTCGCAACAGGCTACCGGTCTGTCGCCCGCCGTTTATTGGATCGTCTCGAAGCAGTGTTCGCGCGCGACATCTCATCCGAGCCATGTGGCTGCCAGATATGTGACCAAGCGGAGACAGATGATCGACCGGATGGAGTGAGCTGGGGCGAGGTTTTGGAGCTCGTGTCTGGTCGTAGGGAACTTCCCATGTGGCCTCCCTTCACAATGGCACCAACCACCGTGGATACGGGTGCGCCAGGCGATGAGCATATTCCAATGCAGAAGCTTGACGTTGACGTTCCTGAAGAATACCGCGAACACTTCATTCGGCAATCTCGAAAGACGAAGGTCGCTGTGGACAAATGGCTTTACGAGCAAAATGATCCAGGCACCAGCGCTCCTAACGAGGTTGACGATGAGACATTGACCTTCGCCATGCTCACGCATCTTGAACCCCACCAGCGCTCATTGTTCTGCTCTTTGCTTGGCATCAATTCTTCTACTCCTGTCCCGCGATCTGACGACGAAAAGCCCCGGCTGAAACCCTCAGCGCTTGTCTCGTCGGCCTCTGCAATCCAGCGTCTTTACCGACTATCCTCCCTCCCTCGCGACCCAGAAACTGCTATGTACATGCTGAATAACCCTACCCTCCACCATGTCCTCGCCACGCTTTCCGCTATCAGTGATGACGAGTGGGAGATCCTCATCTCCGGTCGCTTCGACGGATTCCTCCGCAGTGGCGCAGAAGACACAGGTCCCACCGCCAATGCCGCCGGGGCTCGATGGAACGGCAGTCGCTCCAACACGCCCTTGGGCGGCGGTATCTCTCGAGGACCGACGCCCAATTACATGGATGGCAGCTTCCGACCCTCAAGCCAAGTCAACGGCGCACCTCCATCCCCCGCCTCATTCGGCGGCCCGATCGCCCTCGACGAAGAAACTGAAATTGCCGCGTTAGCAGAAGTCGAGCGCGACATTTTCCTCGGAATGGAAGCCCTCGAAGATGCCTTCGAAGCCCTCCACTGCAAGGCCGAAGCCGTGCGACGCGCACTACGCGAACGTGGTGCCGGCCTCTCGGTAGCAAACCAAAGCCGCCGGGGCTCGTTCGTCGAAGCGCGTCTGGGAACGCCTTTCTCAGGCGTCGGTACATGGGAAAGCGGCGAAGATGACTTCCTCGACGATGATCGCTCTCTTGCGCCCGATGACTCGGCCAGTAACATCAGCTCGAACCGCCGTCGTCGGCCTAAGAGACGCACTGAGCGACGCACACCTGCGCCTGTCGAGGAAGAAGACGAAGAAGATGATGGTCTTGGTCGTCGTGATACGCGAAACTCGAGGCGGAGATAGATCGGTACCGGGGTGAAATGGGAATAATTCCTTTCAATTTACGATCTACGTGCAGCGTTGGAATCATTCGAGGACTGTTTGCTGGATAGCATGGGATATGGATATAACTGTTGCTGTCGCAATGGGCTTGACGAACTCATGATACCCCCCCTTAACTTTCTTGTCCTGGGTGTTTTTAATATGTTTCGAGCTTGTTCTTTTTGCGTCGTTTTTGTCGCGCTTGGCCTACTGCCTCCACCCCCCTTTTTATATTTTGCTCTTTTGATGATTTATGAATGCCATGAGCTTCCCTCCCACGACCAATGCCTGGCTGTGCGTTGAGGCTATGATACAAGTTTTATTTAGCATCTCCCAGCGGTTAGATTCTTAGTATTGTGCAATATAAACGAACTGGATTCTAGGTGTTGCAATGATCTATAGGATGCTATAGTCAAGTCCAAACAAGGGTATATCGAAATAAGGATCCACAGCAGCCTACGTCCACGGCTCTGAGCTTAGCTGGGTTCCAAGTCGGTTAACGGGACGGTTGGCTCTAATGAAAATCCTGATCATGCGACCACAGCCAACCCTTTGGGATGGCGAGACGCTGCTAGTAGGGATGTACTGTAACCTCGCTCTACTACATACTACAGGGGTAGTAGTATGACTTACATACCCCGCCTGAGCCCTGCGATTTCCTACCACAATAACCTAGGCTTTCAGCGCTGGCCTGGCTAGCTGGGGTCCGTCCAAGCAGCTCGCATGTACTAAACCTGTGCCCCATTCTACTACTTGTCACCAGCTACATCTTACGACATCATCCCACCGAATAGACCCCATTTACTAGGCGTACACCAACTACTCCGTACATGGATGTTGTATTGTAGATCACCGATAGTAATTCCGTGCAAGTGCGTGGCATGGGCCCCAGTATTGGAGACAAGCTTCCGTCCGATGAACAGGTGATTTGTGGCTATCTCCAGGATCTCTTTGCTGATAGATCGATTGGCTGGCACGAAATTGGATGGAGGCCGCTGGTGCCATTGGAGAGGGCCTCATACAGCACATAACAGACGATGTTCGTGACTTACTATTGTCCTTGGATTCCTCTATGCATTAGGAACATACAATTGACATCATGCGACAACTCAAAATGAATAGTAATGTATCAACACACCGATGTCCAATGCTCTTCAAGCCCTTCCAGCTCACTCACGTCGATACTCAACGATTATAGGCCAGGTCGTAAATCATGGAGTTACACATATAATTGGGGAAGACAGATAGAGAGCAATTTGGGGGTTGGAAAGAATGGACGGAATAAGTAGAGTAAGCACTCTATCGATGAACAATGGATACCATAGAAAGGTGAGTTTCCAGAACTAGGAATGGCACATTAGATCACAACCAACCTCGATCCTACGAGTTTCAATGAAAATGGAGGAAACAATCATCTACAGATGTGAAACCAAAACAGAGAGGATGAGGGCCGAAGATCAGGTCTTCTACAACATACAAGGTGAAACCATAAAACTAACGGCAAAAGGCAACTGACAGGGTCCTGTTATGTACCTACACTACTCCGTATGTAGAGTGTAAATCATGTCTGACATGAAGAAGCCTTTTGTGGGTTTAGCCCGCTGTGGGACTTGATTGGAAATCATTCCTCGCCCCGTCGCGGACCTCGGCATCCTTTTATATCCTGCTACTCCATCCCCTTGTCGATGGGGCAAGCTGCATAAGTGAGTTCCACTACTACCCACTGCGGTTTATGGTATTCTTCACCGACACGTACTCCGTACTTTGCAGAAAAATGACGGACGGGGATTAACCTGCTTATGGTTATTCATACCCCTCCTACTGTTTAGTTGGTGGAGACAATGCATTGCTGGTGCGTCCGGAGGTATCCATAGGATTTTCCTTTTCCGTACGTATTGATGTACTTTTAGCTTTTTGTGCAAGTAGATCTGTCGATGCTATTTCGGCCTACATAATGAGTATATGCTACCCCGTATTCCGTATGCACAACAGCAATAATCGAGTTTGGAAGGATGACTATTGGCGATCACATGTCACACGGGCCAGGAGCGGAAGTACTGGTAGGATCGATATGATTAGAGAGGATCTACTCAATAGTCTCTATTCGCTACTTACCGCCACGATATACGGAGGTTTTCCTCCGTATATACGGGGTACAGGAGATGTTAATGTAGATCACCAGCATCCTGGGTCGCAGAATTCGGAGATCCCGGAGATGATCATACGCTATTGATTACCGAAGTCTCAGGGTATGATTTGAGACGGTTTAGGCAGAAGGAATTACGCTAATGATCGATAGGCTAAGGCCATACGGTTATTATGTCGTTGTTTTCACCAAAATAGGAAACTTGGCCCCTTAGTCAAATCTTCAAACATGATAGAGTTGTGTGTGCATATACACGGCTCGGAACAAAGCGCTAGGGCGAGTACATACTTTCCACAAGAGTGAAATTGGATTATTGGAGACGTTTGGCAATGTATATTATTGCACGATGTGCTCGATCTTGATATAGATATCCTGTATGCGAAGGAGTGTAGAGTTGATATGTATGTCTCAGAGAATCATATACCATATATTGCAAGCTGCTACTCCAACTAGCGAGGAGCTCGGGATGCCGCTCCCGCGTCAAGTAACTGGATACTCCGTACTCCGTGCTCCATAGGGAGTAGCGGAGGCTATAATATTCCGGCCAGTTAGTTAATTCCGAGGAGAAAAGGTTAAGTGGCAAAACAAGGTTAAGGGGGTTTACCCCAAATTCTACCGGTAGAAGCTAATAGAACAACAGCCGGTAAACTGAGTTTTTTTTAAGGGAACCACTTAAGCTTTCATCTCATTCTAGTACATACATGCAAATTATTTCCAAACGCAGGCCTTGGCCAACACGAAATGTGGTCGGTGCCTGCGCTGGAATTTGGATCGGCAATGAGCGGGGCGAGGACAGTGGTGGGAAGAAATCCGTTTGGAATGAGACATGGCGTTAAGGGCTTTTTAACCCCGGGAGAGTTTCAAAATATCCGAGAAAGTATTTGCAGCACATTCTGTACGCCGTCGAGGATTGCTTTATGCTTGGGTACCTGACAGCCTGAGAACTTAGGCTGTCAACTGGAGTTGGGTGCATACAAAGTATATAAAAGTATATAAATTCGGATGCTCCCGATTACCCCTGGAGGCATATCTGAGACACTTCCAAAATGTGCGCATTACCTTGTGGACGGCCTCGGGGCCAAGATTCCTTCTTTAGCGGGCCACGATTGCCAACTCCACGATCGCTGCGGCTCTAAACCAGACCGTGGTGCGTAATCATCCTTTGGGCGATTCTACTTTGTTGATCCCATCCACTAGGGGAAGCAAGTCTCCACCAGTCCGTGCTAGCCAGTTGGAATCATACTGAACACGAACAGTGTCCTTTATCCAGAATATCCAGTTTCTTGGCATATACATATCCTGGCCAAATTAAACCGCCAATAGGGACCAAACAAAAGCCTGCTACCCGCATGACCTCCACAATCAATATTCTTTTATGCGGACGACATGAGAAAATCTTGCGTTCAGTCCTGCCGACTCCATTAAAAAGCCAGTGATTTTCACTTGTGGTTGCAGAATCAAGAGGCGGATCGAAGCTTAACCTGGCCCAATCGCATGGCCAAGAGGTTTAAGTGTCCACAAATTTCCACTATTTCTAAATAATCCTTTTGTTTTTTTTTTGACGTTCGACATTTTCTCTCGTATCCACAGCCGGCTCATTGTGCCCAGGTGTGCGGGGTGGATTACACATGAAATCATTTCTTCCTACTTGCTGGGGTCATCTCCCGGTGCCCCCCATCCACCCCCTGGTCGCCCACATTGGGCTTTGTGTCCTTTTTCTTTGTTGATTTGATGATATTGAATATGATATACAGTATTCCCGGCAGATCAACTTTATATTGTAAACGCCTCTGAGCGGTTCAGGATAGAGTCTGCTGGTGACGTATATAGAAAATCCTGGGGATACTTTTCAACACGAAGTAAAAATAATAAACTCGTCCTAATTGACCCCCGCTAGTGTTCCAGAAGCCTCGCCCCTGCAGCGAACATAGTGTACTAGCGATCTGAGCCCCCTGTCAATGGCCCAATGTGCGCTTTGGCCTTGACACGGAGAACACGGAGCTCGTGGGATCTGGATGGATTTTGCGCCTTCTTAGTGGTTCTAAAAATTGGGGGTGTGTCGTTTCCCATGCAGTAAAGTTTCTCAACGGCGAATGTCCTTGTTTAGTATGTACTTTTGTATGCAACTAAACAGTTCGCCTTGTTTATTGAGTGGACTAGTACGGAGTAGACTAACTAGGCTAAGGTTTACGGCCGTTTAATTCGACATCTCGTGGTAAACATGCGTCCTTTTATCCACCTGAGCGTCACATATGGCCTAAAGGTAGGCTAAATAGGGTAAGTGGAGCACAATATACGTTGTATACAGGGATTCACGGCTCTGGACCGTGAACTATTATGGAGATCGCACTCTCTGCCCCAATTGTCCGTATTTCCCTCAAACAATTCCACTATTCACTCAAACTTGTCGTGGATCACCCTGCTATTGACCGACAAAGAGGCCAAATGAGTTTAAGTCTCATTCTTCTGTATTTGCCTATCAAATTTTGAGTTCAATCAGTCCCAGTAGTTTGGGTGCTGTTCTTGTTTCTTTCCCTCTCATTGCCTCCGATTTTTCAACCTTCATGCCTGTGGCCTTTCATCCTTCCCAAACTATTGTTTATCTTCCGTTGCGGGCGGTTCCTGGGGTAGGTAGTGTTTAACATATTCAGCTTGTCATTCCTTGGCACTCGCGTCGGCCTTATATATCGTTTTTTGTTGCCCGGCGTCGATTACACTCTGGACCCCAGGAACGTCATATTGCAGCCTTTGATCGTACCTGGAAACTGAAACGAACCGACAAGATATTCCACCATGTCAGCACTCATTCTTATGGGCTTGATGCCTAGAAACAATGAGCACTCATTGGCAGCTCGATTGACCAGCTCCGTCGAACTTGATATCGACCCTCTCCCAGAATCGCACCGACGAGGTTTAATAGCGATCACAGTCATGGCCTTCCTTTCTCTCATTGCAACATCAGTGCTCCTCGGTTTCATCACATATCGACTTTTTTTCTGGCGCGGCAGCTATACACGTTACATCGGTTACAACCAGTACATCATTCTTATTTATAACCTTGTTCTGGCGGATTTCCAACAGTCACTTGCGTTCATTATTTGTTTACGGTGGATTGTGATAGACAAGATCGAATCTGGTTCCGCCGGATGTTTTCTCCAAGGGCTATGGCTGCAAATTGGAGACCCCGGCAGTGGTCTTTTCGTGCTTGCCATCGCCTTCCACACCTTCCTTTTAGTCGTCTGGGGACGCAAAATGCCCTATAAGTTCTTTGTCTGTTTTGTCGTTGGCGTCTGGGGCTTCGTGGCTTTAATGGTAATCATCCCATTGGCAATGCACGGTGCCGACGTCTTCGTACCTTCCGGCGCCTGGTGCTGGATCAGCGATGAATTCGAGACCACCCGTTTATGGACCCATTACATTTGGATTTTCCTTGCCGAGTTCGGCACAGTCATTCTCTACGCCGTGATGTACTTCCAACTGCGTCGGCAGATCGCCGCCTCCGCCATCCTTGGCAACAGCCAGCTGGAGAGCCTCAAGCGCCTGCGCCGCGTTGTAGGCTACATGACCATCTACCCAATCGTCTATATCATCCTATCGTTGCCGCTTGCCGCAGGACGCATGGCCACCGCTGACGGCGACGCACCCAGTATAATATTCTTCTGTTGTTCCGGCGCCATCATCACCAGCTCCGGGCTGGTCGATGTCGTTCTATATACTCTCACTCGCCGCAACCTGATCATCGACTCTGAACCCAGCCAGGACCACTCCTACAACAAATTCACCGGCAGTAAGGGCAGGCGAGGCGCCGAGACCAACTTAACCACCATCACTGCCGATCCCACCCGCAAATTGGGCGGCACTTTCAATGATGATCTTGACCGCGACGGGTCAACGGATAATATCGTTTCACCCAGCACACACGGCCACCACAGTCACGATCATGAAATGACCCCGATCGGAAAGGTGTACCAAGAAACCACCATTGAGATCACGCACGAGCCTGCTTATCCTAATGATGTGTCCAGTGAGCGGTCTAGCAAGGAGGACTTCTCCTCACCTAGGCCGCCTCATGGAGGATGGCGGAGATGAACGTTTCTCATGAACCTTCACACTCCTTTTCTTTTATTCTCGAGTCATTTAAATCGTTATCATTTGTATTTCCCCGTGGTGTGATACCCTCGATACCCCTTTTCTGTCACTATAACATGTATTCTCTCCCTCACAACTTTATCACTACCGCGTCATGTCTCACTTTCATTCCCTTCTCCTTTCTCCCTTTTCTTTCTCTTTTTATGTCTCTCTATACTTCCCCCACGCACCCACTTCTATAACGGAACCTTCTATGTATATATTTTGGAAAAGGACCGACACGTTCCTCATGTGAACCATGGCGATTCGCATGTGCTACTTAATGTTTTCGAATTTGAAGACCCATGACTTGGTTTCTACTGGAAGAATTTCCCCGTAAATTTTCGCAAAAAAAAGTGTTGAGCATATATTTATCCAGGGCACCACTGATGGGAATGGTTGATCTGAGTCTAAGTCCCTCCACCAAAATGCTAATGAACTTCAATAGTCGTAGGAAATCCTCACTAACTAAGATTCTTATAGAAATATACGCGTTCAAACCCGTCCTCCATTCTCCGATCCGTTTCCACAAACCCCAGTTTTGCATAGAACCCGATATTCTCGAACATCTTCACATTGGTGAACAACGTCACACTAGACAGCCCCTTATTTAAAGCTTCCACTTCCGCATACTTGATCATATGATATCCGTAACCTCGACCCTGCTCTCCCGGATTGACTACGACGTTGTCAATTTTGAGCGAGGTGGTCTGCTCGTCCTCATGGATGGTGATAGAGCCCACGGTCCGTTCATTATCTCTCAGGACGAGAATTTCACGTGTGCGGACCGCTTGGTCCCAGTCTTCTGTCATAGGAGCTGGTAGCTTGCCAATGCGCTCAATATATTTTGAATAGGCGGCATTGACCATGGACTCAATGGCGGGTATATCTTCGACTGTAGCTTTTTCAAGCATGAGCTTGCTTTCTGGTGGGGAGGTTGAGCTGAGAGTTGTCGCCATGGTGATAGAAGGGCAGATGATAATGACAATTGAATGTCTTCCAAGGAGACTGTTTGGAAATGTGGGATTTGGGTGCCTTGTGAGGAGAATATTGTTCCTCGCCTACGTTGTGAGTCAGAACTACCCCGCTGAACGACAACTATACACGTCCTTTTTCCCTTGGGACAATATAGTTTTTAAAATAGATGAAATTTGACATGAGCTTAAACCACAATCAGTTAGACACGTATACTGCGATGGAACCGAATGCGAATGTGTCACAGTTGAGAATTACGCAGGAGGCAGCGTAAGCTTCCCAGACGACCAACGGCCCTGAGTCCACACATACTCCGTAATTGCGGATATTTCATGACCAGCCTGGAAGTACACGCGAACATCCGGGCGCGAACCATTCATCCAGCTGATGCAAGCAATCTGGGTTCCGGGGATACAATCCGTATGAAAATGTCCTTTGGTCCAAGACATGCCATCGTAAACCATCTCGAGCACCATATTCGCGGCGTTGAAGAAGACCCGAATTCCGAAAGTGTCCGAGCCAGTCATATAACTAGTACAAGCTATGGGGGTTCGGGGTTGGGCCTTTGGGAACTTGGCGGCTCCGTCATACCAGCCGTGTTTGCTGTCGTAGCACTTTTCTATGATACCGTTCTCCATGTGCTGGAAGTAGACACTATCAATACTTTTAGTATTTTGTGACACAAATTCCGACGACATTACTTACCGGATCTTTGGTTCCGAACTCTTGGGTGCGGTGCATGCTATGTCCGTGCCGGGCATTGCTGAGCCCAGATTTGACATTTTGTCCCAGTTTCCATCATCCGTATTCTCCTTTGAGTGACGACAAGGTTATCATGAAATGGGCAATTACCTTTCACTCCGTACTCCTGAATCGTGTTGTCTGCCATCTAATAATACACCCTGATGGTCATACCAGGTCCCTTGAGCCGACAAGCGGCCAGCTTTGAATATGGCGCGGTCATGAAACGCTTCTTTCCAAGGTTGCCCTCATGCCAACCTTTAGATTGTCATGAGCCATATCCTTCATGATGTTCTCGGTGGAGAGGTAGTAGACTCGGATCTATCCCTTTCCTGTTAATCGTTTTTCTTTTGGTAGCCGTTCTTTGGGGAAGTTCACATTGTCAAGCCCACTGGAGGCGCAAGCTACAGGAGAGTATGACTTGGCCGAGGCGATGACGTTTTTCTCTGTTCCATTGCTCCATTTATCCTCATACTTCGACTCGCGGATCTTTCCTAAGACGTCTTGCATGTAGACCCGTAGGCGGCTGCTTGAATTGCAGGCCGCGATGGATGTCCCTGGAAAGCATAATATCAGCGTTGGCGGTTCAAGAAGAGTAGCCATGGGATATTCTCCATACGAAAGACGATATCGTGAGCTCCGTTGCTGGGCATGATGTGATAACAATTTTGCTTTGATTAATTCTTTGTCCCACTGATAACGAGCATATTTTGGATCGAACTCGGAGAATTCGGAAGGATTTATAGATGTAAAAGGCCACATCATATTTTGGACGTCACGAGGCCATATCGCCAACCCGGTCCGGGCATAAATTCTGGAACATTGGAAGAGGTCTGATTGTCAAAAATTTGCGATGCTTAACACACGAGTAGCCAAAAATTGTAGCACATCACGCAAACAAGGCCCAGAACCCCAAGGAAGCTCCCGGATTGTCAATGCACAAGTGGTAGCACAAGAAAGTAAACAATTCGTTTCAAGGGAATCAATTTACCGAAAGATCTGATGGGTGAAAAAGTAATTGCTTGGGGGTCTGGCCAACGTTGAATAATGCAAAGGCTGCCTGCCATGTGACGAGCAGTCGATTGTACTACGAGATATATAAAATTCTCATCTAATAATTGCTCCCACCCTCCAGATCAGGGTGAAGGTGTGGAAATGCAGATTTAGCAAATATTTCGCGCAACATTCTATCAGTGAGAGATAGAGGTGTACATTGAGGTTTTAATCCGATCAAGTTGAAATGTTGGACTAATTCGCATGTTCAGACCAATATTCTTCAACAACCAGTATGTACTCATGCAATTCCCAATCCTACAATTTATAGGTGGATATCTATGCATGGTGGATCTCTAAGGAAAACGGGCTGCATGTGTTGATCGCTACCGAATGGAATAGACGGCAGAGAGAAAGGAGAGACAGAGGGGAGGCAGGACCTGTCTACTAGCCAGCAAAGAGCTGCTGTCGCCAGGGGCGCCTGGTCCCTCAAGGCCAACGAAACCTATCTCTCGCCTGTTGAATGAAGTTCCACAGCAATTCCTGTAGCTGGTGTTCACCCATAGATTCCTTGATTATTGGATATACCCCTTTGGTGCGAACCTGTACAGATTTGTCAGGCTGAGACTCGGGGGAAGTTTCCCTTGTCTACTGATTCAAATAGATCTTCACCTTCGATACCCTGAAACAATGGAATCTGACAGTGCCGTACTTTTTTTACCATTTCAGCCTCACCCCTCTTTCCCTCACAAGATCTTTCCTCCCTAGGTTCTTCCTACATCATAGCTTTTGCCATCACAGGGGCATATGATGAAAGGAACATTCTCCTCATCTGCTTCCTTAACGGCATCAAGGTTGTGAACATAATAAGCTCATCAATATCGTTTGACTAACTTCCGATGTCCGATCCTAGAACTGCCGAAACTGCTCTTCCCAGGAAGTCTTCCTTGAAGTCAATGGCAGAGCGCCAGGGTGTCTCACCTTTGCCGATATCCTCGAACCACAAACGCCCGGTTAAGTCCAACCAGACCGGTCTGCATCTGTAAGAATTGCGTACTTGGAAGTCTTAGACTCATCCCAATGAGTTCGAAATGAAGGCGTTGGTGGATCTAAGAATGCCCCTCCTCAATTCAACGACATACTAGAGACCCTAGAATGCGAAGAAGAAGCGCTGTAAGCCCTTGATGAGGATAGTATCATGACACTTGTTCCCGGCACCTGCATCTGATCTGCATTGAACCACTATTTTTTGGAATCGGTGGAACGGTTTGGAGCTCAAACAGCGCAGTGATGACGCAGCATTGCACCGTTTGAAACAACTTGTCGAACACTTTCAGAACCTCGCATATTAATACTTTCCCATTCAATTTTGATCCTGAAGAGGCAGGTCTCAATACACCGCCATACAGCTACCGAGAATCCGTTTTGAGATGAGTTGTCCATCACAAAGAAAAGCGCGACAATCTAACACAAATTGTGGCGTACAGGGCAGCGACACACGAAAAAAAAAAATTATCCAAGGGAACAAATAGCTGCGCTGTGCTGACATCTTTAACCTAATTGGTTAGACTAAGCGTGGCCACAAATCGCCTCGGCATACGCCTGGATCACCGGCGATATCTCCAAAATACGAACTCATGCAAACATTAGCCTAGATTACCCTAAATCTGCAGTGACTGCAGAATATCCGCACTGCGATGACAGTGATGATTTAAACACCCATCTTCGCATGCTAGTTTGAGATACTACCCTCACATTGTATTCCTTATCTCCCCTGAGTTCTTATCCCGTTTCTCTTTTAAAGATGTCATCTCACTTGGGACTCACTTTCACAGGAATTGACGTATGTACCCAATGTTGTTGGTGGAGAATGAAGGTGAATTTAGGTTCTACGGGGGCCACTTTTGCGATCGGATAGCTCTCCGGGAGTGCGACCCTGATCACCCATCCAATGGGACGATGATGACAGAACTGTTCTCATTGGCGGAACCACCACGAGTAGGAATGAGGTGGCATACAGGTAGAATCCACACTATTGTTACAATAATATTTAATCGGGATGAGGGTCGAGGTGAGGTTTAGGTGTCACTACACTTGCAATAACGAACTACTACCTTTTAGGGTTATTCGATAAATAGGCCACCGAGTGGCGTTGTTTCTAACACGCATGATTCTACCTCACGAATGTTCTAAAGGATATTGTGGCCAGACCCAAATTTAGCTGATTGTCATTTGTGGACCCTGTACACGGAGACTAATGCAGCTTGATGACAGTGGGCCCGCTATATCCATGGATGCTTTCCAAGCTTATGAGAGAATAGATTTGTTCTCAATAACTCCAATTACTGGAAACTAAACTGGAAAAACACATTAGTGGTGACATCATGACATTGTCAGAAAATGTATATATACTTAACTTTCGCAAACCCAAGTTCGAGTTGCCTAAAACCAAACTTTCATTCCCCATCTTCTTCTCTTTCCCCAGTGCCCTATCATCGACTTATCATGGCTGATCTTTGGACCTCAGCTCCGGAACCAACTACCGAGTTGGGACGTTACCGGGTTCTCTCCTCTACGGCTGGGATTCGTGTCTCCCCTCTGCAGCTCGGAGCCATGTCGATTGGCAACGCGTGGTCGGAGACAATGGGTTCCATGAGCAAGGAGGAGTCCTTCAAACTTCTCGACGCATTCCACGGAGCCGGCGGAAATTTCATTGATACAGCAAACAACTACCAGGACGAGCAATCCGAGACCTGGATTGGGGAATGGATGGCCGAACGCAAGAACCGTGATCAATTGGTGATTGCGACCAAGTTCACCACAGACTTCCGGTCGTATAAGCTCGGCAAGGGGAATGCCCCGAATCATTGCGGCAACCACAAGCGAAGCCTCCACATGAGTGTTCGGGATTCACTGAAGAAGCTACAAACCGATTGGATTGATATTCTGTATCTCCACTGGTGGGATCAGACCACTTCAATCGAGGAGGTTATGGACAGTCTTCATATACTTGTGGAACAAGGGAAGGTACTCTACTTGGGTATCTCGGATACGCCGGCGTGGGTTGTGTCTGCAGCAAACTTGTATGCTCGATCGCACGGGAAGACACCTTTCAGCATCTACCAGGGTAGATGGAATGTCATGCTTCGTGATTTCGAACGAGAAATCATTCCTATGGCGCGCTATTTTGGAATGGCACTTGCGCCCTGGGATGTTATGGGCGGAGGAAAATTCAAAACAAAGGAGGAAATTGAACAGCGGAAATCTCAGGGACAGGGTCTCCGTAGCATATTGGGCGCGGAGCAAACCGAAGAAGAAGCCGCAATGAGTGCTGCACTGGCTAAGGTGGCCAAGGAGCACGGTATTAAATCCCTCACTGCGGTTGCTCTGGCATACGTGATGGCAAAAGCACCAAATGTGTTCCCTCTTGTTGGCGGCCGCAAAGTTGAGCATCTCAAGGATAACATCGAGGCTCTCAAGATCCGATTGACAACGGAGCAAATCGAATATCTTGAGAGCCAAAAGTCATTCGACGTCGGCTTCCCAGGCAACTTTATCGGCCCAGACCCCAAAGTGACTGGAAAAGCGTCCTTCCTGTTGGCTGCGAACGCCCAGTACTCCTTTGTGCACGCACCCAAGTCTATTACCAGCCCGGAATAGAGTAGGTGATACTGGTCAACAGCCATTCGCGTGTACATTATGCATTGGTTGAAAAATATAATATAAGGCAAAAAACAAGATCAGAATTATGCGGAAGACGATTCCTACCTTATCTGTAGCACACGCTTGATTTAGTAGCCAACCGCTTACGCTATATATATATATATACACACAATTATCTCCATGTAACCCGATATATACAATCATAATTGAGCTGATAAACGAGAGAGATAGGAAGGAAGATCCACTCGGTGTGGAGTAAGGTCCTATCTGCCCTAATCAAGTCAAGATGAAATGCGGTTGCTACTTCTTCGTGGATCATCCCCGGTGTCCTCTTATGTAATGGAGGATTGATGAAACTTCGGAAAGCTCCGAATAACTTTTCCAGGGCCACGCAATGAATTATTATCGAATCACTTTCTGGGCCATGCAAAATCTTCAGTTCCCTATTAACTTCAAAGTGGAATGGTTCATGCAAAAGTGTCGCGGGTAATTGAAAAGTGGAGATATGTAATGAATTCATTAGAATCTCTAAGCCGCCGGAACTCAAACCGAAAATTCAGACTGTGGGCTGTATATTTACAGGAAGCATGACAATATTACCTACTCCGTATGTACAGGATGATCGGAAGTAAGCTTATTTGATATGCGGGCCTTTGCTGATTGTACCATGGTCCTTCGCAAACCTTACAATAGGTAGTCGTACTCGGATTCGAATTTTAACTAGCATCTACCACCAACAGAACATTGTAGAAATTTTCTAATCTAGTACTACCTGCAGTTAGAAGGGACATCCGAGCGTTTCAATATAAGGACCTGAAGACCTAGTGACTGGGGCCCCAGAAAACCCAGTTTAGGCCCTATTCGACCTAGTGTGTATCTTGGTAGTCATAAAATAACTAGATCAGTTGAATTATGTATATAATTAGCGTATTTATTTAGTTTCTAATCCAATTTGGGTCCCCAGACCCAGTACTAGGTTACCCAGTCTGACCCAGACTGGATTGGGTCTGGGTTTTATTGGGTCGTGCGGAAGACTACCTAGGGACTTGACACAGATATTGGATATTGCTAAGCTTTCTTTCTTATTACGAAACTGTTGGTTGAAATTAGGGATCAGCATAAAGTAACCTATCGGGAATAAAGTTATCTTTAAAAATAGTCTAGTATCATAAAATACTAGACGTTGAAAAACCCTTAGGGCTATTTTAGTCAACTACCGATACCTGCTTAGGTGTGATAAAGACTCAGACACCCCAAATGGAGATTGTGGGACCAACAGGAACCACAACTAAATGCTCAGCACGGCCCCAAAGTCAAGCCTAAATCACGAATACGAGCTCGGTATCGTATTCGGATGATGATCAATCCTGCCGATCAAGGGTAGGTTTCACACAAGATTGTGTCGTTCCTCTATCTGAAACTTTTTAGGCTTCCATATAAATTTAACTTGGCCGCATTAATATTGCGTAGTAAGCCCAGGCTGCTTGTCTAAATGCTACCTAGATCTTCAGATGCCCCCGTGAAAGAGATTGTTGGAAGTCGTACCATGTGATTATCCATAATTGCTCCCAGTACATTAGTCGCCAACATATAGATAATTCTCTCTCTCTCTACACAATGCAGTTTTTTTTACCAGCGTACTTACTAGTTCCTAGCCTTCTCTGTTACAGAGGTTATAGAGCAGACGTCATTAATTTTAAAGTGTGATTACGCCCTTTGAGTCCGCAAAGAAGGAAAATAAAAAAAGTATTGCCGAGGAGACGGTAAAGGAAATTGTCGAAATATGTATAATGATGCTTGTTTATTAAAAAATATAATGTCTCGGATCAAGTAACCAACTTTTTCCGCAAGAGTATTGGCAATTTTGACCCTAACCACAACCAAATTGACGCCCATAATGTACACACTATCTTCTCTATTCCATCTTGCCACTAGGCGCGGAAGAACGAGACCGCCGAGATCCGAGAGATAACCCATCATCATCACGAGTCTGGGTTGTACTCCGACGCATACCCGAAGCTGTGATTGCGCGTGTATAAGCATCGTCTCGGCCCAAAGAAGTGATATCGATCTCTGTGAGAACATATAGATCGTTAGATATGGCATCTTTCACGCTTTGCACGTATAACACATTACCTTCATCGAAAACCCGAGAATCGTTCACATTGGATATTTGTTCCACGTCTTGATCTTGACTTTTCTGTTCCTGACGATCTAACCCCTGAAGGGCCCGCACTCCGTATGATGCCGTTTCGCTCATATACCATACAGCTGAATCCCGCGTCAGTACCTAGGTGCTGAATACCGAATATAGCAATCCACAAAGACCGAGAGGAATCTAGAAGTTGAGCAACTTACTCTTAAACGGAAGTACGGCAATCTTCCCACAAGCAACCGCAGACCCAAAGCCCACATTCTTCGCCAATTTCATAGCCGTCTCCGTTCGGGTTTTATATTTCTCGACCTTCTGGGCCGTCGGAACGGGTACATCATTCTGAGCCTGGACAACAATGAATAGTCTGGTTAGTTGTGGGTGCACAGATAGATAAATGCCATTTGGTTAAGCCATGTTTGGACGCTTTACCTCTCGTTTTTTGTGCGCATCTGCGATATGCAAAACGGTGGGTTTGATGATCGCTTTCATCAGACTTTTGGATACGCCTTTTGCGTCCACAAGGAAGGTGGTGTGGACTTTTTCTTCGCCGAGCTCAGGTGCTTTATCTAGTCTTGTGTGGACTGGGTACTCATCCCTGATTATCGTGGTTAGTTGCAATCCTTGAGTTCAAACCGGACCAACCAAGAGGAAGAAACACATACGGCTCCATGGGGGTCCCGCCTCCTCTTGTCGACATTACCACTCCATGGGTCTCGACCCTTTTCCTAATTGATGGTTTCAATTGCATACGATAGACCACAGGCTCCGTGTTGATATCACTGCATCGAACCTTCTCCCATTGTAGATGGCGATAGAACGATTGAACGGCATTTGTAGTGCCGTTCTCCTCCAGGATCCTTTCGCCTATCCTAGACGCAACTTGTTTTATATCTCGCCGTCGACAATATTGGAATGCCTCGACAAGGGTCTCGGTGCTGAGCGCATTCTCGCGAAGTGGAGATGGACCGAGGCCTGCGTTATAAATGGTCGTTGCCCAAAAGGGTTGGCTAAAAGGGTTCGCTGTTAGGGCCCGGACTTTGGGGGACACAGATAAGCCGGAGTAGTTTGAAAGTAGCAACTTACTCGCAGAGAAGTGGTAGTGAGAGCATCGGTTTCCCGTTTTGAACACCTTGCTTTACTGTTGGGATGTCTCCGCTTGTTAATAACATGGAAACTCTGGGGATGAGCCATTCTTTAACTTTGTTGGAATTTTGAGTTAGTTTTGTCATTGCGATGGGCGTATATTTTATTTCAAAATGAATGGACTCACCATTTGGGTCATTCTCTAGTAGGAAAATCTTGGGCACTTCGGAAATATCAATTGCTTCTCGGAACCCACTCGGCAGAAGAAGATAAACCCCGTGTTTTTGGGAAGCTTCCACAACGTATTGAATGAATAACTCCGGTTGGTTCAATTGGGTGATATCCAGTGCAACAAAGACAGGTTCGATTGCGGACTGGAGAAAGTTTTCCAGGGCCTTTGAAGGGATATAAGGAGGTGGGCTTTTAATAGTCGGGTAGCCGGAAATATCTAAAGATTCATGTCAGAAACAATCTCAGTGAAGTCCGAAATTGCATGTGCGCATACCAATGGTGTCATCCCAGTCCTCCGGCTTGGGGAGAAATCCGGAAGACCACAGATAAGTGTGAGGAATCTTGAACTCTCTTAAAATCCCGGCGCCGGCAGACAGAGATAGCTGTTCTAGACCTAGAATTGCTTGTCTAAAATGATCGACAACACTGTAGACTCTAAAACTCTGTTAATAACCATATTTCTACGGCTAGATCTTTCGTGGGTCAAGATAATACTTACTCGTGCCACACAGACTCTCCGACCAGTAAATGAGACAGATAATTCTGCAACTGATAATCAATCTCACTTCCTGTCTCTATCTGTGCTAGCGGATGTACAAATCGTCTCGTCGGTGTCCAGGGGCTGTTAGACATGATATGAAGCGGGATAGACAACCGCTCCGCACAATGGATATGAGCATGCGCAAGTGGCGTTGCGATGATAGCATCCGCGATAAAAGGTTTATCTTCGTGCGAGCCGGGATGGGTGCACGCTTTCCAACATTCCTTTAGTGTGTTGAGCAAAACCTTTTTGTTTTTTAAGATCTGATGCCTGTCAAGGCCACTTGAATCAGGCATGAGGGCTGAATCCTTTGCCTGTTACTCATGAGTTTTTTTTTACTCCAAAAGTGTTAAGGAGATGAATGAGGATTTACCGCGATGGGATGTTCTGGGTCGCTGCTGATGGAAAAGAATTCCAGTCCGGCCCTGTGAATGAGTGATTGAAAGACTGAATGTGCAGCAACTCGAACTCGGTGGCCATGTTCGTGGAGTTCCTGGCCGATCAGTATGATTGATTTGGTCTCCTCTGTGTAGTGACCCTATATTAGCGGTGCATGCGTAGGAGTGCTCTTGGCGATGTTCCGTCCTTACCTCTGCTTCCCACAAGCATCAGAACAATATCTAGTGGGATACCATGAGTTCCAAGTCCATCCTTGACATTATCGGTGTTTTCGGCAGGTGAAGTTGACCTGGAATTGTTGGCTCGAATTTCTACAACCTGAGGTCGTTGGGTAGGTAACGAAAATTCTTGGATTAGCGTAGATGTGCGAGTTCCCGCGCTTAAATCTATGCTAAAACGGCCGATATCTATGTAAATAGGGGGTTTTTATTTAGCATAAGGACTTTCAAATACAACCACCTTTTTTGCATATTTCATACCTGCTATCAGGATCGATTCACGCCTTTCATCCGCGGTGGTTGGTGGTGAGAGTAGTAAGTCTTCGGAGAAGAGAGAGCTGTATGTCGGTGGCAACTCGTCATTGAGTGAATCGTCATCCATTTCGTTGTTCTCGAACATGTCCTCTTCCAGCTGTCTCAGCTCGTGTTTGGATGACATTTTGCTGAGTCTTAGGAGCACAAGTTTAACAGTGGAAACACCTTCGTATTATAGATATGCGTTAGTGGCGTATGTCCCTTAGGCAACTCTTTTTATTTGTTTCTCCTGAAGGCAGCTGTGAAGGATTTTGATCCTTGGGGAACCTTCAAAAACAAACCCACGGTCATATCCTTATTAAGGGGTTCTATGCGCCTTCTAGAACATAACCATTCGTTCGGATCGAATACGAAATCCGAATCCGAGACCCACATCAGGTTAAGGTTAAAGTGGAGCCTTTGAGTTCGTATTCGGCTTCGGATATCAACCGCAATAACAAGTACGATCTTCCACCAGATGTACTCCGTACTGAGGTTAAAATAGATAACCCTGGATTTAAAGTTTTTGATAACTGTTAGTTTAGATAGCATACAAGCTTTTTCTGCATCGGTACTGTTCATCAGCCTTACAATATTGGAATTTATGTTGCCTGAAAAATATATTGAAATTTTCGGTGCCCGGAAATAATGGCCTATATATTTCACATCCTCCCCGGTCTTTTATGTCAATAGGATTAGAGATTTCCAGTGTCTAGTATCGATATCGAACGGACTTTCGACTTTGTTATTACCATTCTCTTTCCAAAAATGGCAAGCTCTACTTATGTCCTTTACAATTACACGCCCAGCTTGGTGGGCGCAGTAATTTTTGCTGCGCTTTTCCTTCTCACAACTGCTTTTCACCTCTACCAACGGATAAGAAGTCATGCGAAATACTTTAATCCGTTTATTGTCGGGGGATTATGTGAGTTTATGTCATCTTTACCGAGGTCCCTTCACTGGCTCATACCTATGTCCATTGCAGTCCAAATCATAGGGTATATCGCTCGTGCCGCCGCTCATTACAACAAAACATCGACCGTCCTTTATGCACTTCAGCAACTATTGATTTTGCTGGCACCAATCCTTTACGCAGCGTCCATTTACATGGTTCTCGGAAGAATCATCACCTTCCTCAAAGGTGAACATCTGAGCTATGTACCTGTCCGTCTTATGACGAAGATCTTTGTGGGTGGAGATATTCTATCATTTATACTCCAAGGCGCAGGTAAGCAATTGATAGCAGGGACGTTCAATTCAAGACTTTTAAACTGATTTACTCTCGTAGGTGGCGGTATTATGAGCAGTGGATCTGAAAAGGCCCTAAGTATTGGCCAGTGGGTCATCATCGCGGGTCTCTGTGTCCAACTTCTTTTCTTCGGTACCTTTATTATATCTTCTGGTCTCTTCCACATGAGAATTATCCAGTCACCCACACAACAGTCGGAGCGGACAATGCACATCCGGAGATCTATCTTGCCTAGAAACTGGCACAGTCTCCTCTTTGCGTGTTATGCTGTTAGTTTGTTGATTGTGGTTCGATCCGCTTATCGTCTCATCGAATTTGCGCAAGGAAACACTGGCTACGTTATCAGCCACGAGGTTTTCTTGTCCATTTTTGATGCTGCCATGATGTTCTTGGTTATGGTGATCATGAACGTGTTCCACCCCTCTGAGGTTTTGCAGCATGACGGACCTGCCAACTCTAGTCCTACTGAGAGTTCCGTTGATCGGTCGAAGGAGCAGGTCTAGTGGGTGAAAGGTTTATGATTCAACGAATATCTAGGAGTACAATTGTTACGATCAGTTCGTTATATTTTATTCTCTTTTTTACAATGCCGATTGTCCTCTTTAGACACATTCGTGTTTTGTTTTAGATGCATATATAAACGTGGCAGATCACATTTCCTTTCGCATTCTTATCGTACCACTCAAATTACATCCTTCTTCAACGTATACACTATTGATGAGTGGACCGTAGGCAACGCGTCAATAATAAAGAATCTAGAATAAGACAGACTAGTTCTCGCTTGCTAACTACTTACTATATTAACCTTTCATCAATGTCACGCTGCTTCATTTCTATGATTCTAACCTTGCGTTTCTTCTTTTTCAAAGGAGGTTTCGGGATACGTATATAGATGGTGAGTGCGGAGATTCAACTTAAAGCAAGCTAATTAATATTAATCTATGAATACGAGGCAGATATATTGTTTAAAATGGACTGTAAGAGTTTAGTGAAATCGACTAAAATAAGAAATGAAACATTGAATGTAGATTAGGCTATTTTAGTTCTGCTTCGATTCTAGATCTAGCTATGACATATCCCCACGCATGAGCTCCATATCGTCAATTTTCCGATGTCCTCCAGAAATGATTTGACCTGGGTGAAAGACCATGAAAATGATCATGACCAAAAGCATGAGTGCAGCATCGAAGACGTACGCGAAGTACTCATGACTTTGCAGAAAGCCAGTCGATCCTTGAATATATTCGACGACTCGGTAGAGACAACGGATCATAATCAAACCGCTTGCAAAATACAGTACAAGCATGTACCGGTGCCAGTCCACCGAAGTAGCCATTGCTGCGGAAGTGGGATCGTCCGCCATCCGCTTATGAAATATGACCGAGACGACAACGAAGAAGCCGAAGAAGATTATTTGGACAATCAAACCGACGATGATGACATCTTCGCCGAGTTTCAAGCTGCTGGCTGATTTGGCACTAGACATAATTCCGCCTCCTGTGTATGAAAGTTAATAAGTAATCCATAGTGTGGGGAGGAACTGCCACTTCTTACCTCCACTCTGGATGAAAAATGATAGCACATCGCCCAGGACGAAGATCTTGGTCAACCTCGTTGCACGAATAAGAGATTTGGAATCACCCTCCAGCAGACGTATGATCCGACCAAGGATCATATAGATCGATGCCGCAAACAGGGAAGGAGCGAGTAAAACGAAGAGACTCTGTAAGGCGTATGGCATTGTCGAGTAATTTGGGGCTTCGTGGGCGTTGACTGCTCGTGCTCCATATCCAACGGCTTCAAATAAACCACCGATGATGAAGGTAATGAAAAATATTGTTTTGTGTTTCCAAACAAGAAAGATGTGTCCAAACGTGATATTGAGAAAAAGAATCACGAAAATGATTGCAGCTGCAAGCGAGGGTGTGTAGTTGTAGAGAACGTAATCGGACATGGTGAATGGCAAGGACGGAGGTGCGATGATTCGAATAAGGAGAAGTAGCGAGCGACTTAGGAAATAGGTCAATTAGTTGAAATAGCGGACCTGGGAATGGAATGCTTCCTTTTATACTGAGAGGAAGATGGCTAGATCCTAAGTACATTACGAAGTTATTTATGGCCTAAGTTTAGAAACTGTGGCATACTCCGTTTTTGCGATAGATAATTCCCATGTCAGGCAGCCAGAATAAAGTGCTAATTATGGAGTTACAAAGCTTTTTTTTAACAAGCAATTGGTATATATTTCGGCAGATAGAATTGGCTCGGAAAAGCCGAATACGAAACCGACGGTCCACTTTCCTTTTCACGGCACTGCGTAGGTGCTTGTAACTGGGAAAGGTGGAAATGTTTTGTTGATTATCTGTTTAGCTGGATCAAACTAGAGAGCTTGAACCGCATCTAAAACACGGGAGCATACTGATACCACCAGCCAAGATAGTGGTATGTTCCTGGGATGGTTCGGTTTATGCCGCCTTGCGCGGGCAGGATAGGGATGCGACAATTTTAAAGTCATTATAAATGCGTCGCATCCACTTCTGTAACGTTGAGGGCAGTTCGGGCTCGCATAAAAGCCCTGGAAACTTTCTGAGTAACTTTTAGGCATCCGTATTATGTTGAAGAGCACGATAGTTTCAGTGAAAAGCCGCTAAAAGAAATACACTGCACATGTCCTGATTATTGAATGTTTTTTTCTCTTTCGCGACTACTTAAGAGGCTTTAGAACCATTTAGATGAGGTCTCAAGTCATCTTTAAAAATTTCATTTCAGTATATACACAATGGTCAGCAACTCTGTTCTCATAATTATTGTGCTTGCTTGTGCCCTCACATCCGTCTCACTCGCGGCGGGCATATTTACGGTCGTCAATCCTGCCCAAGACAAATTATGGACGCCGAGCCTAGAGCAACAAAAGTACATGCGAGAGGTCAGAACTCGGCACTTTCGTCTCTTACTAGGAGAAAGAACTGTCAAACGTGACAATTTCTCGAGGTAAGCGCTAGCCTCTGCTACCCTCTTGTCCTCTTAATCTAACAATTTTGCAGAGCAACGGTGGACATTGAAGGCGATGCAGGCTTGGAAAATACAAACCAGACATGAATCAGGATATGTTTTCTTTTGTACCGACAAAAGCAAAGAATCTTAATAAAGGGGTCGGCGGCAATATATTGCAGCAAGGAACAATCTCGTTGGAGGTCGGAAAGAACGCAGTATTCGAGATTTGTGGAGAAACAAATCCTCGGACGGAGTGGTATTTTCAAAGGTACTGTACCATACCATCTATGGCCATCCTAGCAAAATAACTAGGAGAGTATCTCAAAAGAGTGTCGCGACTTCGCCGTTTTCAAATCTGTTTCATATTCTGGGAGCGACTCGGATATGGAGAGCTAGATAGTTGAGAATGTGACTCCTGTTGATAGAACTCAGCGACCTAATATCATACTTTATCTTTAAAATCATCATTCGTGTGTTTTAGTCTGGTTTAGTCATTGTGTTTGTGATCGATAGGCAAATCGAAGGTGCGATCTTGAGACTGGTAGGCGATTTATCTTGTGCTCTTCCAAAGGCAATAAGACTAAACTGGAATTTGTGGGTTTTCCATCTTAGAAGGCTTGAGTTTCAAATTTAGCCTTGAGGTTCGGTTTTCAGAGCGTGGTATCCTCGCAGTAATTCCATGCTTGGTAGATAGCGAAAGTGCGGACGGGGTCATACACCTGACTTCTGTGACAGCCAAATATAATTATCAGAGCAAGACTTCGACTTTCAGCAATTCCGATAGAGAACTGCTCAAGAATGGACAATATTGCGATCTGGATACTACCTACTACCTAGTAGCTGGAAAAGGTTGTATATAATAATCTGGCAGCTGATTATCGCCAGTGTTACAGACATAATATTATAAACGACCTGTGGAATTCGTGTGAGAATTATTCGACCAGGTCACGGGTTTGGGAGATAGGGTTGCTTTTCAGAAGCAAACAATGTGGCCATCGAAGTGGCTTGCGGCCCTTAATGATCTAAGCGTTACAAGGTTTTCGATAGCCCAAATGAAAGTAGTCGACGCCCCTCGAAAGGCCCAGGGATAGTGTAGAATGCTTAATGGTGTACATAGTGTTTGATATACAAGTAGCCAATGAAGGAGGTTTGTGGGGAAAATAATTGCGGCGGGTCCATGCTGCGGACCAATGATACTTCGAGCGACCATGAGTCATGTTGATTCATGTACACTAATCCGAAGGCGGGTTGGCGCGGCCGAAAGAGTGGGCCGTCCATGGATATACATCAACTAGAGTTCACTTACTATATAAGGTTGTTGTCTCCATTTGTTCAACTCTTCCAATTCGAACCATCTCGTCATTTTTAACTGCCACAGAAAATGGCTGAGAAGCCTCCCATAGAGGATCTATGCACCCCGGAGGCGAACAGCCTGTCGGCTACCGACAGCGACACTTCTCGAACAGACGTTGCGAGTGACTACGAGCTGACTGGAATTCCACTAGTCCTGGTCATCACTGGACTTTCTCTTTCTATATTTCTTATGTCGCTAGACTCGTCTATCATTTCCACGGCTATTCCTCGGATCACGTCAGACTTCAACAGCACCGGTGATATTGGCTGGTATGGAAGTGCATACTCATTTGCGATGTGCGCTTTGCAGCCTATCGCAGGTAAACTGTTTGGAAGCTTCCCTATGAAGGTGAAATTATCCAAGACTTCCAGTTGGGGGTGAAAAAAAATCCTAACAGTATCAGGTCATTTTCCTTGGAAGTCTTACTATCTTCGAGCTTGGCTCATTACTCTGTGCCCTTGCTATCAACAGTCCCATGCTCATCGTCGGCCGTGCTATAGCAGGAATTGGAGCGGCAGGATGCTTTACAGGAGCTTTCTGTATTGTTGCAGTTTCTAGTCCGCTCGTCAAGCGACCCTTCTATATCGGAATCCTTCAGTCAACCTTTGGCATTGCCACCATCATCGGACCTGTCCTAGGCGGTGCATTCACAGAGCATGCGACCTGGCGCTGGTGTTTCTGGATCAATCTCCCAATCGGTGCTGTCACCATCCTTTCACTACTATTCTTCTTCAAGCCGCCTACGCACAACTCGATCAAGGGTCCGTCCGTTCTTCGCAGACTGCAAGACTTAGACTTGCTAGGTGCGGTTCTTTTCGCTCCTGCCATCATCATGATCTTTTTGGCTCTTCAATGGGGAGGCATTGAATACGCTTGGAAGAGTGCTACTATTATTGGCCTCTTCGTTGGAGGCGCCGGCCTCGGTGTTGTCTTTGCTCTCTGGCAAATACGAAAGGGTGACGATGCTATGATTCCGCCGCGTCTGATCAGTGAGCGCACGATGTTCTTTTCCTGTTTTAGCGAGTTCTTCGCCATGGGCGCTGTCTATATTTCGATCTACTATCTTCCCGAGTGGTTCCAGGTGATCAAAGGTGCCTCGCCAACGAAATCTGGGCTCATGTACCTCCCTCTCGCGCTATCCGATGTCCTCTCTGCGACCCTGACAGGTGCCTCACTCAAGTATCTCGGATATCCTAATCCCTATATGCTCCTTGGAACAGGCTTGATGAGCATAGCAACGGGACTCTTCTCTACCTTCTCTCTAATCACTCCACACCAGCACTGGATCCCATTCCAAGTCCTCCAGGGTCTCGGAGTGGGGATGACCCTCTCAATGCCCTATGTTGCGACCCAAACAGTCCTCAGGCCAGAGGATATCCCTGTTGGTACCTCATTACTGCAATGCTTCCAATTCTTTGGTGCTTCCGTGAACCTCGCCATCGCGGAGGCTATCTTTGATAACAAACTTAACTCGCGGCTGGCCAGTTGGGGGTTTGACACCTACGACGTCAGGAAACTTATCAGCGCAGGCTCTGCCGAAGCAAGGAGGGTGGTTTCTTCACCAGACCTCCCACGCGTTTTAGACTCATACAACCACGCAATCACCACGACGTTCTATCTCGCGACCAGTGTTGCCGCCGTTGCATTCCTCCTTTCCCTTGGCATCCGTTGGAGAAGTGTCAAGCCAAAACCTCGGCCTGCTATTCCTGATCAGGAGGATATGCCGGCAAGTCAATAGTATTCAGTGGTTCCGGTTAGTCCAAACAAAACATGGAAGATGGATGATTCTAGAATGTGAGACCTTGGGGTACGCAGATAGTCAGGTCTTGCAGCTCGAATTATTATTTAGAAAATTTAGAATAATGGTGCATACCAAATTATTTAATACAATATATGATGATCGTATGACTTGATTCTCATTCAATTATCTCACCTACATTTTATCATTTTCTGTCACGCCTAGCCTGACACGTACGACCATAGGGTGTGCAAAATCGGACGCCCCCGTTCCCTGCGGCTTCCTTATGCCACTGGCCAAAATGCCAGATTCAGTAATTCTTTAAGCTTAGTGGTGAAGAAACGGGGGTTTTCAGTCACACGACTCTCAGAGCCAAGCTTCCATAAGAATGGTTCATATACGTATGTAGGATTCAGGATGCCTTAGAATTGCAAGCAGTGTTTTCAACTAATATTGCTCAACTCTAGATTTCAGCTTAAAGTTCAACATCATCTAACATATCCCATTGCCGTTGTAGCGACTGATAGGCTTTTCGCATAGGCCAGGCATGTATTTCCATGGTTTGGTTCATGATACCAAGGAGGGCGTCTCTCTCCTCTTGATCGGTGAAATATTCACCGTACAGTGTAATTGCCATAACAGCATTAACTAGTGCAGGCTGACATCGGGAATGGTTCAATGCGATGCCGCAAAGACATAGGACAATAGTCCGAACTTGTGCCTCCGTTTTCCGATGCAATGCACCCCTTGCGTTCCTACAGATTGATGGCGTGTTAAATCGAATTTTCAATGGTGCTGAATGATCTAGCTTGACTTACTCGAGATAGGGGCTTTCGGCAATTAAAATCATTTCGGCCAATTTCAAATGTTGGATCGCGGTCACCTGCTCATCAAAGGAGTACCATATAGTAGGAAAGATGTTCCCTCTCGTTCGATCGGTATCTTGTTCCAGGATTGGTTCCAATTCATGCAGATAATCCTGGTGGAGCTGATGTTGTTTTGCCTTGAGCTTCTCTAGTGCGACGGGGTATGTTAGTCAATTGATACCGGCATCTTTTATAAAGTAAACTTACCCCATTCTTGAGGCTGTTTCAACCCCCAGCGCCACTTAGCAACTTCACTAGCGAATACAATCATTGCATTGGAAACAGAGGTGCTTCGAGAGCGCTCCAAGTCAAAGCGAACCTGCGGAGCCCGTTGTCTTGTCAAAGCATAATATACCTCCTGTCGGATGGCAATCCAGTAGGCCGCAGTGGCGAGGGAGTGATTAAGCGGGGTAGAAATCATGGTGTCGATGATTGTCTGGGTGATGGCCAGGAAATTGACTCCCTCATAAACATGGTTTCCAATTTCCCCTTCCTCCATCTCCTCTTCCATTTCCTCGTATTGTCGTAGGATGACGGTGGCCGCCATAATATTTTCCTGGTGTATTGGATCCTGGATTTCGGGGAATTTAGTCAATTCCGGAATACATTTCAACATGTACTCAACCGACGTCGACTTTGTTAAGCCAGGCAAAACCTGCCCGCGGTAAACAGTTCCTCGGGATGTTGTGTACTGTGGCAAACGACAAAGATGTCGGGATGATACCGCAAATACCGCATTTCGTAGAGCAAGACAGTTCTTAGCTCGGCGAGGAACCACTAGTTGAAAGTGACGTCGCTCATCGCAATGATCAAACTATAGAATGTTATTTTCAAAGAGTACCTAGGATAATTTATTTGACGCACCCATGGAGACAGTTCTTCAATAAAATACCGTAGTAAGCAAGGTTCTTGAATATTGCTATCGCTCTCTGTCCAATCTGGATTCACAAAATAAGATGTGTTGACAGATCTCAATGTGGTTGTATGGCCACCCAGCTCGGCATTTCGGGGATTGCCACCGCTGTTCACCAGACATATTTTTTTCCTTTGTAAGCCATTGTTAAGGCTTGGCGATATCGAAGAATTCGAGAAATTGTTTGATGAGCCGGGAGAACAAACTGCCGGCCTTCCACCACCTATACTAAACGAGCCTGCATGCCAGGACTCATTCTGAGGATTTTCGATTGGCTCAATGGACCCAAAATTTATCGTACTCAGGTACCTGCTGGCTTGCCTTTGATGGTCATTTGACAGGCCGCTCAATGTGAGTGATGTTTCCTCATGATCTTCGTTTGATACGGACAGGCTAGATCTAGATTGGGATAACGGAGCTGAATGCGTGGGGGGTCTCCAGTTTCTAGGCCTGCTATTCACCCATGTCTGGTATTCCGTAAAGTTTGCATCCAGATTGGCTGTGGAGCCGTGTCGAAAGACTGGCTTTCGTTGCGCAGGTCTACAATCCAGGCCTTTGATCTCACATCTCAGGCAAATTGGTTGCTTCCGATCGCCTGTAGAGGGGAGAATTAGCACATGAAAATAAAGGGCACTACGGTTTTTTTCTGTCTAGGTATCGTACATTTCCGATGCCTATCTGTGGCACATATTAGCGAAGATCAGGACCATAACAAGCACAGGGATTATTACCGCGGCAACTCGAGCAAGGTGTCTTGGCCAATGAACTACGAGTTGACATATCTCACGAAATCTCTTCCCCGGTTAGGCCACAGCAAAAGGTTACAGCGGACACTCGAGTAAATGGGAAGTTCAAACAGCTAGAAGATATGGCGGCGCCACCTTCCTTATACAGTTAGGCTTGGGTACCCCACATTTAAATTCCCGTGTTGGGTAGCCACCGCCGCCAATGCTGTGTTTGTGTCCACATTGGCACATATGGTACAGAATACTTTGCGTCATGTTCAAAGGAATTGAAAAGAAATTATTTGTCAATTCTGTGTGAGACCTTCAACCTTGGACCCCGCAGTTGAAAATCGGATGCCTAAACTCTCTGGCATATCCCAATTCCTAAAGTTGAACCCCCGAAAATAGACAGTCACGTGGTCGCCAAGGTAGAATACCACATTCCAATTTGAATAACCTCCATACGTTATGTTGCTGTATCTGATAGTATATATAGTATTTTAAGCTTGGCTATTATATGCATTCGTTATAAATGGCAAGAAATGCACAAGATTACGGTTGGTACTCATGATACATATCTTCGCATAAATGATATATAACCTACGGGTGATCTAGTTAGAACGCTGACTTGTTGATACTAAATAAGGAATTGTGAGGCAGGGAATATTCAACCAAGCAAGGAATATATGCATCTTACAATATGTCGATGACCAACTAGAATATTAGCTCATCTTGTTGAGCTGGCATCAAAGGTCATACATGGGAAAGTGCTTTTTTTACCTCCTTCATTACACCTAAAAGGGAACGTGAAAATGGCATCTAAAAAGATTATGGAAAACCGACTATTCTTGTGCAATTTAATGATAAAATTTCGTGGTGGAAAATCTCTCATCCCGTCAACTCCCACTTCCATTTCTAATTGACCTTGATAAATCACTATCAGTCGAAAGGTTATCCACATCGCTACATACTGGAATATCCTAATTCAATATTTCCCCGCTCTCATTGAACCTTGTGACTTCCCCAGTCAACAGAGCTTTCTGCAGGGCTTGTCCAATATTCATAACAGTGATTCCAGTTTCAAGCTTAAGAGGGAGCTCCTTGTTTTTGACAATGGCTTCGACAAACTCGTTGGCCTCCAACGCAAACGCATCCTCGAATCGTTGCCAATACTCCGGCTGAACCTCGTGTCTCATGCCAAGCTTGTCGGCAAGGACAACATTATTTTGCTGAGGAACGACGTTGACCATCAACTTCCCGTGGGTTCCGGTGATCTCGGTGCACACATCATGGCCATGGGCTTGGGTGCGCGAGCAATAGAAATACGCGATCTTGCCCCCCCAGAATTCAACAATTCCCACGGCGTTGTCCACATCGGAAAGATCTTTCAGCTCTGGATGATGCTGCAGAGTACCGACTGCCCAGCAAGCCTTAGGGACAGGGTTATTGAGATACCAGAGTGACAAGTCAATGTCGTGAATGGCGCAGTCAACAAAAATGCCTCCGTTTCGGGCAGCATATCGAACAAAGAAACCGGTCTCATCACGAAGATCACACGTGTTGGACCGGACCATGAACGGTGCACCAATGGATTGCTGCTGGAAGATCTTTTCTCCAGCGTCGCGATAGGAAGCATCGAACCTGCGAGAAAATCCTGCCATTACCTTAACTGATGGGTTTTGCTTTGCGGCATCAACAACGGATTGCGCCTAAGAGGAACCGCAGGGGCTATGTCAGCATTGAATATCATTTCAACTGATAATGAAAGGAAAAAATACCTCTGCAATGTCTGTGCTAAGCGGTTTCTCGCAGAGCGTATGGATATTCTTAGAAATCGCTGCCAGTGACTGACTCGCATGGACGTCAGTGCTTGTGGAGATCCAGACAGCTTGGAGCCCCGGGTGATCCAGCATCTCGTCATAGTTGCCATAGACATTGATACCGAATTCCTTGTATTCTTCATTGTCTCTAGCCCACTGGATCTCGTTGCTGTCGGTGGTACACACGGCTACAACACGAGCCCGAGGGACACGGTACAGCAGGGTATGGACATGGCGTTTACCCTGAGAAGAATATTAGCAACACGAGGCTTGAGGACTTTAAATGATATCATGATATAACTGACCATTCTGCCAAGACCAACGACAGCAATGTTGAGCGGTTCCATCTTAAGGATGCGGAAGTGGAAGTAGAAAGAAAGAAGATTGCAAAGGACGGATACGTAGAGACGTGTGCTTCTAGTAATTATCGTTCTTGTAATTAATAGAGAGAATGATGGGATTTTGTGAGAGATTTGCCCATATTTATGTGAAATCGAACTATGTTTCTTTGTAGTATGCAGAACTCGCAGCGCCGACTCCTACCGTATTGGGTATTAATTTGATTGGCGAAGTTGAGATGATCAATTGGGTTTCAGGTATCTACATACTGACATCGAATCTCCCTATGATGGCAAATTTGCAACAAGATGTTAATAAGAGAAAGGTTAAAATGTCCCGAGAAAGATTGCTAAAGAAACTGGTCCCATATCTCCCTTTCGGGTAACTTGCGCCCAAGCTCACTGGTGGTCGAAAGATTTCCCATTTGCGAGAGAGATGGAAACACCTATAAAACCTAGCAACTTACCTTTTGAACGCTGATAAAAATATCGAAGTCGATTTAAATGCCTGGGATTTCATTTTATTCTAAAACTGGGACGTTACGGGGGATCACATCTGACAATTTCCGACATGCACTTTTGCGAAGGGGAAACAGATGGCACCATTTCCCCTATAGCGAAGTATAATTTGTTGCTTTGGCACAATACTCTTGAATTTCTCAACCCCTCCCCGGAGCAGTGATGGATAACAAACGTAGAGTGAGCGTTGCAAAATAGAACTGTACAATTAAGCCAGCTGTTATGTGTTGGAATAAGAAGTGTAGCTTCGGAAGTTCCAACAGAAGGGCGGAATATCAGGCAGATGTCTGGCCAATTCATTCGAATCGCCTCTGACGATGTGGTAATGAAAAGACGCATGCTTGGCACGTATTCTCTTCAACCAATGAGTATTTCATGCTCTTCGACATGTATCCATTTTTGCTTTTCGCTTAGCAAGAACTCGGCCTGGGGAAGAGTTTGAGAAATCAAATTAACCTCGGAGTGAAGTTCCACAAGCGTCAGACAATTGGCGAGGAGCGAGTGCCCAGCCAGGCAGCCGAAATAACCGAAATAGCCGGAGCTAGTACTGCATCCCCTCGGCTCATTTGGGGAGTTGGTATTAGCTATTTAACGCAAGAAGTGAATCTATAACCAAGTCAAAGGCTACCCAAGTTACCATTTAACAAGTAGCCATATATCTCCAATTTTTGACGCTCACAAGTCGTGTGAGCGACACTATGGCACCCAAATCTACCCAATACCCCATTGTTGACGTGTGGGCGAACCTTCCTGGAGTAAGTATAACACGCCTCAGCATTGTATAGTTGCATCACTAACATAGGAGTTAGCTGGGAGCCGCTATCCCTGAAGTTGCTCGTCTCTTCGCCTACAGTCACTCCGACCCGGAGGTCGCTGACAAGAAGCGATCGCCCGAAGAGGTCATCGCGTTGATGGACGAAGCGGGTGTTTCCCATATTTGCCTATCCGCATGGAGTCGTCCAGGGAAGATGATATTTTCCAATGAAGAGGTCGCCCAGTACACTCGCGCCTACCCGAAGCGAATCTTTGGTCTAGCTGCTGTTGATCTCCACAATCCCGTGGAAGCTGTCAAAGAACTGGAACATTATGTTAAAACTGAAGGGTTTGTCGGGTTGAGAGTGGTGCCTTGGCTATGGAACCTACCCCCAACTGACCCGCACTATTGGCCTCTTTTCGTCAAGTGCATCGAGCTTGACATTCCGTTTTTGACCCAAGTAGGCCATACTGCACCTGCCTGTCCAAGTGAGGTCGGGCGTCCGATCCCGTACATCGATACTATCGCGCTGAAATTCCCGGGCTTGAAGATCATCATGGGCCATATCGGATATCCTTGGGCTGCGGAGACTACGGCACTTGCTTGGAAGCACAAAAATGTCTATATAGACACGAGCGCATGGTCTCCAAAATATTACGCTCCAGAGTTTATCACGTTTGCCAACACCACGGGCAAGGACAAAGTGATGTTTGGAACAAACTTTCCACAGCTGGGATGGAAGGACTGCGTTGATAAAGTCAATACCCACCTGGTAGGAACTAAGGGTGGCTTCAGAGAAAGTGTGGTGAAGGGCTTTATGGGTGGGAATGCTCTCCGAGTTCTAAAACTGCCGGAGACACATCTGGAAGGACCCCGATCGAATCTTTGATCACTGTTGGGATGGGTGTTTGGTACTGCCTAGCAAATGAGGGGATAACCCGAATAGCTAGAAAACAGATAATTCGGGGAGTTTGTCTCCTACACAATACAATTGTCACAACATTTAACGCCTTGTTTGTGTGTAGACCTGTCTACTGTGTATTCCCTCTTTCCCGAAAGGAGTTCATACATAGATTCTGTCGTCTATTTCTCTAGAGTCAAAAACACACTATAATCTTCCTACACATTTATCAAGAGACTGGTAAATATGCTTATTGAAGTTGTGGGCCACTTCGAGCTCACTTGGACTTTTCTTGGTTATGTTTAAAGCACTAGAAACATTGTGAAAAGTCGTTGCTGGTGAGAAGTGACCACAGACTCTGAGCTATCAGCCATGAATCAATGTGCTATCTCTTTTGGTATCGAATTAAAATGGAATCGAGGTCGGAGAACTCAGCGGCTGCCCTCGGCATACCAATCGCCCCCACAGCGGACCGATCGTCGTTGATCGGAGTGATGTGGATACGATTTATAGAATTCTCCGTCTATAATGTTTATTGTAGTTGACCTACTAGCCATCTTCTGCTTTATAATACAATAACCAGCCCCCTTTCAACGATATAATCAAAGTTCATTTTGCCATATATCACAATATACGTTTTATATTCGTGCAAATTGCGCGTATATCCGTTTCGAGTAAGTGCAACAAGTTATTATAGGCATTTCGATTTAACCTAACATACTACACTTTCGCAGCACCCCAATGGATCTCGGAGAGTATTTGTTTCGAAGGCTTGCCCAGCTGGGAGTTGGCTCTATTCATGGTGTTCCTGGCGACTATAACCTTACTGTCTTGGATTACCTCGAGCCGGTAGGTCTCCACTGGGTTGGTAACGCCAATGAGTTGTGCGCTGGATACGCTGCGGATGGGTACGCCCGAATCAAAGGCATTGCCGCCTTAATCACCTCCTTTGGTGTTGGAGAGCTTTCAGCCATCAACGCTATTGGCGCAGCCTATTCCGAAAAAGCCCCCGTGGTGCATATCGTTGGTACGCCGCCTCGAGCTGCCCAACAATCAGCCGCCTGTTTGCACCATAGTTTGGGGGATGGCAACTTCAGGGTGTTTGCAGATATGTATAAAGGTGTCACATGTGCGCAAGCTAACCTTGTGGATGCTACGACCGCCCCTCAGTTGATTGATGCTACGCTGAAGGAATGTCTCCAACAAAGTCGCCCAGTATATATCGAAATACCTACCGACATGGTCCGGGCCAAGGTGCTCGTGCCACAGTTCCCAATTGACCTTTCGGTCTTTACTTATGACGAAGCTTTCGAAGACAAAATCGTCGACTCTCTTGTTTCTCGCATCCAAAGCTGCAAGCGTCCTTTAATCCTGGTTGACGGATTTACTGCTAGGTTTGGTGTCAAAGATGATATCAACGCCTTCGTTAAGCATACAGGATTCCCCACCCTCACGACGCCATTCGGCAAGAGCATCATTGATGAAAACATACCCAACTTCCACGGAGTGTATCTCGGATCGGCAGGTGGGGCGGTCTATCAGTCATGGGTCCAAGGGTGCGATCTGGTTCTCCGCTTCGGAGTGCTTGGATCTGAAATCAACACATTCGGTTTCACTGCTCAGCCACAACCTGGAGCGACAGTGACATTCGACAAGTACTCAGTATCCTTAGAGACCACTGACTCGATGCCTGCCAATGCCAGCTTGGTCTCCATCAATACCGTCCTCTCGAAATTATTGCGTTGCCTGAGCGGGATGGATATCCCTACCCCAGAGCCGTATCCGGAAGACCCCTTCCTCCCGCGTGAGATTCTGAAGAGCTTTCCTGAGGCTCTTGAGACTGCATCGATAGACCAATATTCCCTTTGGCTTCGTATGTCCCGGTTCCTTCAACCAGGAGACATTGTCATGACCGAGACTGGTACTGCATCATATGGCGGTCAGAGCTTCGATCTTCCGGAGGGGACGACATTGATAAACTCCTCAATTTGGTTATCTATCGGATATATGCTTGGTGCCTGCCAAGGAGCCGCTCTAGCACAGAGAGAAATGGTCAAGGGTGGCACACGGCCCCCGGGCCGAACTATCCTCTTTGAAGGCGATGGGAGCCTTCAGATGACCGCTCAGGCTATCAGCGACATTATCAGGAATGAGCTTGATGTGATAATCTTTGTGTTGAACAACAACGGCTATACAATCGAACGAATCATCCACGGCTTTTCGGAAAGTTACAACGATGTTCAACCGTGGAGGAATCTCCAAGCACCAAGCTATTTTGGGGCTCTCAGTGGTAATGCCTCATACCCTGTCAGAACTGAATCTGCTCAGAACTGGGGCGAGTTGCAGAATATCCTACAGCGACCTGATATCAAGGAGGGCAAGGGGCTCAACATTGTGGAGATATCGTTGAGCATGGATGATGCACCAGAATCCCTGAGCAAATTTGTTGAGTACCTGAAGAAAAGAAATAGTGGGCAGCTATAGGTTACTTTTTTGCTCTGCTGTTCTCGTCACAAAACGAGCTGAGAACTTGATTGGCCGAGGAATATTCTGCAGATGACATTATTATGAATTAGATGAGTGCGGGAATAAGTTAGAATTCTACCATTGATGTAAATATTGCTCACATAGTTTCATATCCCTCAAAAATTGTCCGTTATATTTGGCAATGACATATGGTAGAAAAAATGAAATGCTATCTGTGATGTGTGCAAGCTTTGGACATTGACACCATCATGCTTACAGTAATTCGAGATGGGAACCTTCGAAGATGAAAGGTGTTAAGGAGGTGGTTGATTTACCTAGGGAGAAGTGCTGTGCGTGCCTACTGTCCTG